TCACCCACTGGTCAAATTTATTCAATTGTTACTGGCTCAACTTGAGTCTGACCAGTCAAAATAGACTAAAATAGAGCTAATCCTTGAAACCATCCACCAATCCACAAACCCATAAGTGAACTTTTGAAGCAAGCCGAAGTCCATAACTTGCAGGACAGGGCAGGACAGGACAGGACTGGCAAGCTCGCAAGCAAACAGACCAGCAGACAAGCAGGTAAGAAGTTGAGAACTTATAAGCATCTAGACAAAACAAGACAAAGATAAGCAGTAGCAGCAAGTATAGTCATCGTAAACAAGAAAGAATCTAAGCGACAGTTGGTGGCTTGTAGATAGATGCATGCGTGTGTGTGTGTGTGTGTGTGTGTGTGTGCTGCTAGTAGTCTTTCTTCACAACTATCTCTCTACTCTGGATAATCTAGGTCTTCTACTCACTCTCACTCTCGAAATTCTAATTACCTAGGTACAATACTGACAATATTGTACGTACAGGATTAGAGACAAAGAGAATAGGTAAGTGAAAGCGAGGGAGAGGGGGTGAAGGAGGAATGAGAGAGAGTGAATGGGATGATTGGAAAAGAACACAATCACGCGCTCCTGTTGATTCTCCATCTTGTCATTCTTTTCTATTCTAGACCTCTCCATTCAACTAAAACTACCCAGGTAGGTAGGCTCGTAGGTACTCGAGTATTCCTCCCTGAAAGGCACATCAACTCAACAACGCATACCATTGATTGAATTTGCCAGTTCATACATCCAACGCATGTAGGTACCTTCATGTAGTCCATTGGCACAGTGGATGAGTGGGGATGAGGGGGGTGGTTCTCTCAAAAATAGTAATGCAGTAGTCTCAATTGATTCTTGTTAGGTACCGACTTTCTACTTCTGTTATCCAATACTATCTTTCCATCTACCCAGTTACTTTCTCGCGATCCATATACCTACATGAACTGATGAATTAGTATAATCTATCTGACAAACTGTTGGACTATTATTTACTACATCGAGTAATGGAATACCGACGCCCATTACGAATGGCAGTTTGACATTTTTGTGCACGATCTAAGGCATCAGACGGGCACCAAAACAGGACGGTATTCCGGTACTAAACGAGGCGAATCTTTCTCTTTCTCTTTCTCTCCATCCAGGATTTGATAAACTCGATCCCTTGATCATTGTATTCCTTTCGAAAATCATACCTCCCCCCCCAAGATGCCTGTGCGTGGCCCAGCGGTTTAGTCACCTACACCAAAACCTACACCCATGCGAGCACGACCTGGATTGGAAAAAGATGCAAAAAGGGGGTAAAGAAGATCCATGTAAGTTGCTTAGCGTCATATGTACTTTTATGTCGAAGTACGCACGTATGCAAAATTTTATGTCCTATGTAAGTTATTCTTGCATTTTGGACTTGTACGGCAAGAATAATAATTCAAAGCTCCGCTGCTGCCATTGAATGCACTACCTAAGTGCTCCGTAGACTGGTGCACTACTACCAATTCATACACCAATCGTCGTGTAGTGGCTCTCGTCATCCTGGTTTTGTTCCGCTTCCTCCTCAAACATGGGTATACCATACCCCTGAATTGCGTTGTTGCAGATTCCGGACTTTTCAGGACCAGTATCAACCCTCGTTGGTGGCTGGCAGCGAATCCAACCGCCGCATTTTCTTGTCTGGAATCATCTGTCTTCGGCCTTTGTACATACTTACGGTATGATTGTCGTTGGATAGACGGTGAATGTCCTGGAAAAAGACACCGGATGGGGGCGAATTGATATATCATTGCCAGTGGAGTGGCAACTTGGGGGTCGAGTCGTACAATGCTCTTACCTTTCATTTTTTAAGAGGATCCGTCTTCTGACTTTCTGGTACCGACCCTCTTCATCCGAGTCCATATGCACCTTTTCTGTACCAATCACCATGCACATCTTTTGCTGCACGTTACTCGATCACTTGTAACTATAACAACACATGCAATCAACCGACCGAGTCATGCAAAGTGTACAGTATAACGCAGTACATTGTACACATCTTTTGCTGACAATGATATGATGTGACAATGTTGCAAATACATACACAAAAGTTACTAAGATATATATGCTTTTCTACACAGGATACTGACTATGATGATAAAGTTAGGAAGAAGGGAATTATTTGTATTCGAAATCCAAGACTTTGCTTCTTTCCCCCCTCGCAAACAATTGAAACCATTCAGAGTTCCATCCATCGTCAAGATAAATATAACCCCTGATTCCCTGAAAAACCTTACATACCCATTCAGCCACGATTTACCGCTCGTTGAAACCAATAACAAGCGCGAATGCCGAAATGTATAAAAAAAGATGGGACGGAGGGAAAAAAAAGACATGATGGCATTGGCAATTTGGCATCAACATAAATATTAAAAACCTTGATCTAAACACCTTTAGCTCGAATGATTCGTTTGACTGGTGACATATCTAAGCCCGAGGGAGAATAGTTTGTTCTTTTAGTTGCGAGCCGTACCTAGATGGAAATAGCATTTGCTTCGTACCGCATTACCGGCAAACAAAAAGGGTGAACTTCGAAGCATGCAACAACTTTTGTACCTGCATCGACTGGCTCGGCGATTGCGCGGGACTAACGTGTGGTTCATCTTTTGTATGATTATGCACGATACTCAATCAAGATTAGTTTGATAGTCATGGTGGAAGTTCTAGTCAGGAACGCTGCCAGCTTTAAGGGGGTGGCAATAGTGATTTGTATAAATTGACGAATCAATCCATAAAAATTCGAACCCCCAAAGCAATAAATTGGGGTAGCCTTGTCTTGTCTCGTCTACTATCTACGAAGCTATTCGATCGCTCTCTCGTATCTTTGCATTTGGGTACGGTATCGATCAAGAAATGGTTGGTTGTAACTTGTAAGTAAGATCGATACGACATTATCAATTGCTGCCCTTGACGATGAGGTAATATATGGCTACTGTGTAAATCGGCAATCCCGTCTATTCGAAGGAGAAAACCAGACCAGAATTGACCACTAGCGAATCCCTCCCACGATTCAGTTGTTCTATCTCAATCCAGAGAATTAACAGTTTACATACACATAGTATGATCACTGAACAACATCTAAAGAATTGTGTAATATTTATATTCTTGCAAATTCATTTGTGATCAATTTTATCAACTTTGGCCTCTTTTTCGCCTACCCACGTACAGCTCGTTCAATAAAACCTAGAATCCACTAAAATCATCAGCAACAAAAATCACTCTTCTCTTCCACGTACTGAAACAAAAGGATTGAAGCCAGTCAGGTAAAGGAAGCCCGTTTTACGATCGTAAGGAATCCGTATTGCTCCATCCGAAGGTTTCTGAAGACAGAACCTGTGCGACGCTAACCAGAGATGGATAAAGATGCTATCTTCACCCCCACCAAAAAAGGATGCATAAAGGGGTAGGAGGGCATTAGCCTATTTTTCGTGCGGAAAATTGGCCTAAAACGTCAAACCGCAGAGCATAAGCATAATGCAGAAGCATGGGATGAGCGGCTCACGTGTTCCGCTCCATTAAGAAGGTTCTCCGATTTTCTCTCGAGAGCAGATGTTGATCTTTTGTCAGTGTTGCGCGTAAGCATAACTCAATCGTGATACTTTTGAGTTTTGACAGGAGATGGGGACAAGACATTATTGCGAGTTGAACGGAGAAGAACCGAAGAAGTCGAGTAAATTGACCCCATAATATTTCACGAGACCTTACAATTATGAGGCCATCGCGGCCATTTATCTCGCCGTGAGCATCCCTGGTACGCACGGCTATATCCTATGCAAGACATGGTGGTGGCTTTTTCGACCTACGCCACTCTCACCGGGATTTTTACAGTCAAAAATGTTTTTAATAGTAGCATCGCTGTGCCGGCCCTGAATTCCTCGATTGTCCTTTCGTTTTCAAGTATTACAAGCCCGAAAAATCGCGAGATCTACCTAGGTATTTTTTGTGGTAGGTAGTATCTCTAGATCCACAACACTATCTGCTAATCAGCTTACTACTGCGCCAAAAATAAACCACACAACTACTCAAATATATTATGTCGTATTCTTGTTCCTCTTTGATGCATAACACCACTAGCAGAACATAAGCTGGGATTCCCTATCCTATCTGCCAAGTTCAGACGACAATCATTGCATGGCCCTCCCGGTTCCATGCTTGGCCTTCCCAATGGAGATTATGAGATTGTTCCCTCCCCACAAGATCTACTGCCTCCACCCGACTGTCAAATCGGTGTCGCATAAACTTCGAGAAGGACTTGTTGAGGCTCGACCGTTATCACAATAATGTTTTCAATGCGGCCTGTCTCGCTTTCGATTAGTTGAATATAGAGAACAAAGCGAGACGAACTTGATGTTTTGAGTTAACTCTAAGTCGAAACGAGAAAGATAAGGTTTCTCAGATCTTCTGGCCAAGAAGAGACTGTGGGCCTATTTCTCTAGCCAAGCGGTGACTATGGAACATCCATTACATGTACAACGAGGCTCAGTGTGTTCCATCTGTTTGGGAACATGGTGACTCGGTAGAATTGCCATGTAAGTACCGCACAAAGTCTCAAACAGAAACATCGTCTACATTTGTATTCTGTTCAGACGTCATTGTCGGACATGTGTTCTGGTTTCGAGGTCTCGCACACGAGTGTAGCCATTTATGACAAACAATAGTGTTGAAAGAACAGCAGCTAGCCAGTGTTCCAATAGACGTATTTTCATGCCAGTTGCGCTAATGTAACATGATCTGGGCTTTGCAATCATACAATTGTATGCGAAACTGCATGGCTCTCAGCGTTAATAAACTATGGATTTCTAACCTAGCTTGATCCCGAGAGAAAGAAAGACGACGAAAGAAGACTCAACCTCTCAAATGAATCCAAATATCCAAAATGGGCGGAAGTATCGAGACGAAGAATCAAGACTCAACTTCTCGAATTCGATATTTCAGATGAGCTAAGAATATCGAGAAAGATTAGTACACGAGAAAGATCCAACATGGAACATACTTAGAAATCTTATTTGATATCTAACAATGGCGTCAATGATGGCTTGCAATATGCAGAATTACAAACTTCGTCACAAGTCTTTGCAAAGTATTGTAGTCATATGACGGGAGATTGCAGATTCCCAGTTCTCCGGTAATAATGGGGATGGAAAGCTAAACATTAATTGATGCATGTGGGTTTCCAAGCAACCACAATCAATCTCCTATAGGTTGTTCAGTAGACATATCGCTTCATGTTTTGTAAAGCTGTTTTAACTTCGGACATCTTTCAAAAAAGCCGATGTGGTGATAATCGCGCGGAAAATACCAAGAAGCATACGATACGAGGAGTGGAGCACAAGAATTGATTTGAAAAAAAGAGAAATATGTTGCGTTCGTATTGTACTCGTTGGTCAAAGTTGATCTGGTGAGAATGGTATCATTCTCTTAGACACATCATAATCAAGCTGCCTACGTTTGTCGGTTGCTCGTGTGTTTGTCTCGTCTATCAGGACGATGGCAAGTGACATCTCCACCGTTCCATACCAATCGGGCTCCTTTTTCTTCATATCACCAGATTGAGAATTACTTGGGCAGCCTTAATAAACCTCTGTATGTTTAGGCTGAACTTTTAATTCTCATCCGATATAGTCTTGGCCAAATTGATTCAACTAGTCCAACAGATCAAGCATTTTGAAGCTGTGGAGGTATCCGGTTACCACTAGCAGTCCTAGTTAAAGGAGCATCACTACTCCTTCCCTCGCTTCTGCTTGATGATCTTGGACCACCAGCTGCTCCCCTGACTGTTTCTCGTTATCCCCATGTGAGTACCATCAACACAACTAGTGTACTATAATGGTAGCTTCTGCACATTTACTTGCGAGAAGGGAGAGGTCAAGGTAGAGTAAGGTAAGATTTATTTTGATTAGAAAGCAATGCATCATTGCAGATGAGTAATAAACTATGCAAGTCTACTTCTCGAATGGACTTACTGGCTCTGGCGCCTCGTAACCTCGTCGAATCAAAAATCCAGCGAACTTCTGCTCTAACCTTGCAAACTAGGATATCTATTAGATCAAACTTGTAATGATACCTACAATACTTACCACACTTGTTTCCTCCACTGGCACAACTCCATCTTTGATCCATATGGAATAACTTCCCATGAGGTTTGCCATCATAACATCAGTGGTGAGTCTATCCCCGACAACTGCTATCTGATCTGGTCTGGTAACTCCGGTCTCGGGATACTTCGAAAAGTATTCCATAATATCAGGACCGCATCCGGGCTTCTTAGAAGCGTGAGATAAGACTGTGACGCCTGTAGACTTCTCAACTTCAACAGCCAGCTTGCCAGAACGATCTAAAGATTCAGCACCTGCTGTATTAGAAACAATCAGAAGCCGCCGACCTGGATAAGCTTCCCGAAGTTTCTTAAAAGTTTCCTAGAACACATTAACATTGAAAGAAGATCCATGGAGCAAATTCGTTTGGAAATGCAAGGAATGCGGAAGTGATAGGACAAATGTAAGAAAGGTAGATGTAGGTAGAGCAAACACCCCACCCAGCGTGCTCAGTTTAGATCGATCAGCTTGAGAAACCATAAAATATACCCTTCAACGTACATTGTAAGGTTCGTGTATGTCATTGGATTTAGGATATGCGAAGCAATTATCCTTGTCCAACACTACAGCTCTAATATCAGCATTTTTGTATTTATCAAAAGCCGAGTTGAGAGGTATCGGCAGGTGGTTGAATGTGGAAACGGTTGCTTGAGGTAAAATCAATTTCGGTCTTACGAGAAGACGAAATATATTCACCGTTGCTGATATGTTAAGAGTATTCATATCCATTGATGTAATTTCTTAAGCAATGGTTGTAATGTTCGGATCGGATCAATAATTCTGAGGAGGATTGCTTGAAGATGGTGGACGGAAGTTGCCGAAAGCTTCAAGATCACTAGCGTCAAATTATTCTGAGATATCCAAAGCTTCACTCGGATGTTGACATTCACGCGCGCCGACTTTCAACGACTTTATCCCAGACCCTCATCTCTCTCTACCCAATTCCTCGCGATAAAATCGATCTCTAGCAATCATGACAAGCACAATCGGAATACCAATCAAGCTTTTGAACGAGGCCCAAGTTAGTCCTTTCTATTCCTTATAGGCTCCAAGGTCCAATATACCAAGGCCCGGCGGACTTCTCTTCTCATATGACATCTGCCATGTTCTCTACTGATAATTATCGTCTATTAGGGTCATGTTGTAACTCTCGAGATCACGACCGGTCAGGTCTACCGTGGAAAGCTTTTGGAAGGTACGATTACTTATTACGTTCATCAGGCTCGCAAATCGCAAGAAAAGGAAGAAAGGACATACTAATTCGAGATCATTATAGCGGAAGATAACATGAACGTTCAACTCAAGGACATCACCGTCACAGCGCGCGATGGTCGTGTCAGTCATTTGGACCAGGTATACATTAGAGGCTCACACGTGAGATTCTTTATTGTTCCAGATATGTTAAGGTTGGTGGAGTCAATACGAAGCTCCAGAGCAGTATATATCATTGTGGACAAGGCTAACGTGAATCATTGTAGGAACGCGCCTATGTTCAGGAGTAGAAATACCAGGGGTAGAGGTGTCGGATTGGCAAGAGGAAGGGCTACAGTCAGCAGGGCGAGAGCAAGTGGACGAGGAGCACCAAGAGGTTGAGAGACTCATATTATATGTGGATGAAAGGATAAATTTTCAAATGTCGGCGTTTGAGGAAAACTTATGATAAATTGCAAAGCTAGTCTGGGCAGAGGAGAGCTACCAAGGCTCGAATATTGAGGATGGCCCAGCGCACAAGCATACATGGAGGGAGAGTGCTTTTTCCTTACTGGCATTTGAGTTAGAGCAGAGTAATTGGGAGCTTATATCCAATATCCTAAAGGTAATTGCTATATCTCTCCCAATTTGGGCATATTCCAATGAACTTGTTCAGATATCAAAGAAAATGAGCCAATGATATAATGCTACTGTAAATTTCGGATCGGGCAAAGAAACTTCCGACATAATATCAAACGTACTGTTTTTGCTTGTGTTCCCGACCTACCTAGTAGACTGACCAATACATACAATCAATCATGGCAATGGAAATTTCACATCCACGGCGTATTCTAGCTGTTAGTAGACCAGATTCTGGCCTTGTAGACTTATTGAAAGGTTTGAACATCACTTGTGCTCATAAATACGATTTGGACATTAACTTATCTTTCCAGGTCTCACGGGTTCTGCGCCTGCTCTCACAGGAGACTCCATCGCAGGTGTAACCCATGACTGGCCTATCAAAACTAATTACTATACCGCAAGTGTTCCAATATGGCTTGATGAGATACACGAGCCAGAAATATGGTGTAAGGAATTTTTGGCACCAGAAGCTCGAGAAGTTCTGACGGTTCTTGGTGCCTTTATTGTATGTTTCCGAAAGCCTGTCGATGAAGCCGAGTTACAAGCTTTTAAGATTCTTTTGGAGAGTGTGGCCGAGGTTGTAAAGGAGGGTTGTGGTTATACTTGGGATGGCGTTTGTTTGGCCGTGGCTATGCCACAGTCAACGACTCCATACCTTGAGAAAAGCTTCGATGAGTGGGAAGAATTATGCCAGGAGCATGGTTTTGAATTTATTGATTTTGAAAGCAAAGGTCGAAATGAATACTCAGGTAGGATAAGGATTTTAATGAAGTTACATGTCTTATCGTTGACACTTGTAGAACCTATGGGTCTTGAGAGATTGAAGGAAGCTTTAGAAGCCAATGAATGGGAGGGTGGTGATGACGATGGGGAAGGTATTGATCTCGGTAACTTCGAGGATGATGGCGATGATAATAAAAGCATCGGGTTCGGTATCGAAGCGGCTGAATTGGAAATGGAAATGTTCGGTATGAAGCAGGCAATTTATGGCGAGTCCTCTGGAAAGACAAATCCTGAAGAAGAAATCGAGAATGAGGATGGAGTAGAGCAGCTTGAAGCTTTGATGTTGAGAATGCAAGCAGTCAAAGGTAAGAGATGTCTACTTCTTTGAAAGATTAAAAACTGACATAAACAGATATGGGTGCGGATTTGCCAGAAGCCGAGAGGAAGAAATTTGCTGCGAAAGCCGTCAACGATTTAATGAAAACTTTATAAGATGACCCGTTGTTACCATGATCCAAGAAGCAATAATGTGTAAATAATGGACTTAAGTCGCACGCGAGATTGTCTTGGAGTAACGCCTTAAAATTCCACATATCGCACTACATGCCAGTTCCAAGATGGTTTTTCTACACCCCGCAGTAGCAAGAACTGGAATGATAGATTAGCGCCGGTCGCGCATACCAAGTCGCCGGAGCAGGTAGATATTCCCTACAGTGGTTGTGGCTATGTGGCCCAGGGTCTAGCATGTCTTTTTGGTTCTAGACACAATGTCGCCAATGTTGGCGCTCCAGCTCTACATTATGAACTCAAGCCAAGTGGCTTACTTTCTGACTTTCTGCCGATCTTGATATCTCCTTAGGTCTCGAGCGGTGTGTTACACATCTACAGTCCTTATCATATTCTGCAATATTGAAGTTATCGTCTGGGTCCTGAATGCCTATCCACGGACTTGCAGCCTCGCCGCCTCATCATTCCTACCCGTACGGGAACGCCTGTCGATGAGCTTCTGCTCTCCATTCTGCTTGCCGTGTACTTCCAGCAGCAAGAAAGCTTCATCTGCTCTCCTACTGTGATAAAATCTCAGTCAGTACTCTTCCATTTCGTAAACTTCATTCTTGCTTCAGGCTTCAAGTAGTCAAGTGATAACTCCACTTAACCTTCGAATTGCTGACAACATATCTTCAAATTGTGATGCTATTGGAATTTTGAACTGAAATTTGTGTGAATTCCCCTCGAAACTGCAATTCTTGAGCCGCGATTCTATAAAGAGCTCTTAAGGCTACACTTCCGTTTTTTCGCTTTGAATACTAGGCAACATTTCTTTATATCTCAAAACCCAAAAAGAATATGAAAAATCATCCAATATGTTATGACTGATGAAGAATCTAATTCACTTTCAACATAACATACCACTTCATGACTGAACCCTAGCCCCCTTTAAGTATCGCTCCTATCCTTCTCTCCCAAACTTTAATCCATCATCCTTTAAACTCGTTCATTACAAACTGCTCTCAACGTTCTTAACAATTACTCCACGCCTTTTCATTGTGTATTAGCCTCGGAAAGCTTCCTGAGATCTATTAACTTCATATTTCAATACTAAGTTTCTCAATATAATTCATTTTGTCGTCTCCAACGGGCCATTCTCATCAAAGAATCGAACTTCTGTGGTTAAATTCGATCTAAGAATTGTGTATGGTTGATTACCTGCCAGTATACCTTGTTTTATACCAAGATTATATTTGGAACTGCCTACAGAACTGCCTACACTCGAACTTTATGGAATAGAATGTATGAAATCTCGTTTGCTCACCCCCTTCATTTCCTTTCTTGATGGATTATTTTTGAAATAGCGATGATGTCTTGCTAACATGGCTACACATAACTTCTAGACCTATTTCATCTCCGAGCCACGATAACATTTTACTCCAAACTAGCAGACCAAGCTATCTTTTGATCATCCGATCCTCAATATTAACAAAACCTCCCAGATCTTTTCCCTTTCGGATATCAAAGAGCAAGTTTCTTCTACTGGCGGCTCAAAAACACGCTGATACCTCTATCAAGGATCTTTTTATCTCCTCAAAGTCAAAATTTTCAGACAGCCTTCGGGGCAAAACATTCTTCAATCTTGCAATCACGTGACCAGGCTTACTTTTGGGTACATACCACGACGGCACTGGGACTGCCTCTGAATCATATTTCAACCATCTATCTTCTTGAATAGGATGTTTTGACATAATTCAGGCTTTTTTTGAACCTTCTGGTTACTCTTATTGCTTCCAACAGTCCTACCAATACAACACACCTCCACAATAAACCTCGCCTATCATTATCATATCCCCCAACATCTCCCCCTATCCAAATCAGCATTACTTCAAGATGGGTGGTAAATTCTGGAGTCCAGAAGAACAGGAATATTTCATTCACGAAGTCATGTCCAAGTCCCGCTTCAACGGTAAAGATGGCGCATATAACCCCAACAAAGGCATGTCATGGACGGAACTCGCGGACATGATGCAACATGACATGGATGAAAGAAAACTTGCTCGTAGACAATATACTGGAAATATGTTGTATGAGCACTGGTACCAAACTGTCAAGAAGGATTGGGGTGAAGATCGCGTTAGGATACTGGCGGCAAGTGCGAAAGCTGCTCGGCATGGTGCTGATCGACAACCAAGATCAAATCGAGTCAAGAAAGCTAAGAAGAGGGTTGATACGATGTCACCTTTACCAGTTGCTGCAAAGCAGTCTAATCAACGTACAATAAGCCCCAAAGAACAGCGAAAAGAAGTTGTTTCACGCCGAAATAGCACGGAATCATCAGATTCCACTTCAAACCATTCTCTCATGACCTGCTATCCCGCTCCTGAGAGTTATTCCACACTAATTGAAGGTTCGAGCATGGCTCACAGACGATTCCCTGATCCTCCAATAAACTCCGGTTCATCAACAAATCGCCACTTTCACCCATACAGGGCTCCAGATGCATACCGCCAATCCCACACTAGAGATCCGGCAACATATCACCACCAACGGTACCCTGAACATCCTGAAGCTCAAACCCCTCTTCAGACCCGTGACCCAGAAATTCACATGAGAATCACTTCTACAACCCCATCAAAAGCTCCCCACCAACCGCTAAATCTCCAACAACGCCTGCCTATCATGATCCGCGATCCCACTCCCGACGGTGACGAAAATAGTCTTTTCGTCGAGCAAGATTATTCCGAATATAACCGCAGAACCTCTGTTCCGCGTCCGAATACCGAGTTGGATGCCGCGGTCACCATGACCATGTTTCATCGTCAGGAGATGCATACTTTGCATGGAACTCCTGCTAGGAGATTTGATCATTTAGATGGCCGTCGTACTTTCCAGCAGGTTCGTCCTGATGCTCATGCTTATCAACGGTATATTGGGGATACTACTCCAGAAGTCCGCCTTGCAGCTTCAATTCCTCGTGCTGATACGGTTCGCCGGAGCCAGAAGCAGGGTCGGTCAGGCCAGTTGGAAAAGAGCAACGAAGATGATGAGAATGATGGGAATGGGAATGAGTAGTTTTTGGAGATATCACGGGCTGATTTGGGAGTATGCGCGGGATCTTCACGTTGAATTTGAATCATCAGAATGGCTTTATAGGCATTCGGAAGTCGAAAGGATTTCTTTTTTTTGCTTCAAGGTATTTCGGATACACGAAGGGAGTTTTGCGAGTTTTATTAGATACCTAGATATCCATGACTGAATAAATACAATTGATTTATCTTTCCTACACACATGTATCCAGGTCTTCCACACAGATTGATGAGAACTTTTTGAAATGGGACTTTGAAATGTAAGCTCTCCGGTCTCCGGAGCTCACATGAATGAGATGTTCATCTAGATAGCTTGATTCTGAGATGTAGAATGTCCCTGTGATAGGAGACTGCTAATTTAATGAGTTTATTTGTTCTATTTTGCAGGAAGATCCATGGATAGCCTTGATCTCGACCGAAGGATGACCAGCCTATACTTTGTCGAATGATACCAGCACGAATATGAGATGGGGAATAAGCAATGCTTTGCATACAACTCGAGATGAGAACACGAGATTATTTGAATGGATGAGGTATAAGAATCGTCATGTCATATAATATGATCAAGCATTTGCATTCTTCTCCTGTCGTATCTATTCTTAGCATTTGGAAAATCGACAAGTCCGTCCTCATTTTGCCCCCGGGATATTGTAATCTCTCAGCCCACAAACACCCCTTTCATTTGTGATACTGCTCTAAAAGGACATCGTCTTTGTTCTAAGAGCGCTGGAACCTATCAACTTTTTCAGACTCTTAATTTATCATTTCCGCTTGGGATCGACATTCGCCTTCCCTTCGTTACCCTGAAAGCAGAACATTTTCTTACACACATTCGATCAGTCACAATACTCGAATGCAACTTCAAAACCCCAAGAGACATGTAGAGACCGAGAATCATTTGTATAGCTGTATTCTATATAGACCCATAGCATTCAACAAATATGTATCGCATTAATTAACATTCATTTCCACAACCCCTCACTTCTGCTCTATCCTTTGAACATAACCCATCAACCTTTTACACAAAAATGCTCTCGCAGGGGCCTGATCATCATTACTCAATGCATGACTAGCTCCTGGAATAATCGCAGTAAATTCATCATCCCAGATCTTCTCCTTTCCTCCATGATCCGCCGCATTCTTCCACCTCTTCAACAATGCTTCCTTATCCACCCAATCCGGCACCGCCTGATCAGCCCCCGAGTAAAAAATAACTAATTGATCCCGCAATAATCCCCTCTCTTTAATCATCCCAAACGTTTTCGATAATTGCTCATCACTCAAATCCGAGCTGAATAAATCATCTTCCTCAGGTTGTTGCGGACTCTTAGGACTAGCCAGACTCATAAATCGGCGACAGCTAATCGGAGTAGTGCCGTAGCCGATTTGTGAGGTCAGTGCCATGGGGAGAAGAATATCGATCGATTGATCACGTTTCGCGGCATCTTTTGCAATTTCTTGGATGGTTCGAAATGCTGCTTGACATTCGCTGGCGGGACGTTTGCCAAGCCCGTCTTGGAGGACCGATTGAATGGCCTCGCGATCGGAAATCGGTGCTTGCATAACTGCACCGTCGAGAACGGGACGCTTCACGTGTTTTAGATGGGGATCAAATTTGGGGGTGGTGGTGTGGGGATTGGGTTTGTGTAAATAATGAAGCACGACTTGGGAGCCGGTTGAATGACCCATGAGAATGGTTTTGCTGTGGGGGTATTTAGACTGTTTGTAGGCTTGGATGTAGCGGAGACATTCAGCTATTTCGTCGCAATCACGGTCGAGGTGAGAAGTTCCCCATTGGGCGTATGATGATGAGAGATTGAGGGTGAAGAGGGACCAGGGAGTGGGTTGGAGGGCTTTGGCTATATCGGCCATGAAAGAGGTGGTTGCGAGACCATCTCCTAAGCCTCCGATGAAGAGAAGACTATGGGGTTTGGCGATGGTGCCGGATGTATATTCGAATGTGGTGAGAGTCTCGGTCTATGGGATTTGTTAATTGAATTGCCCTTCATTTACAGACAATAATGCTCACATAATGATGTAGGATACCTGGAAGACCACCTTTAGGCCAGAATTTGGATGCCATTTTGAGGGATGTTTAGGTGATATTATCGAAGAAAATGGTATGTAAATTTAGGAAGAATAGGATGAGCTTGAAAAATACTCAATCGTAAATATACGGTGGCAGTAAATCAAGATCGGCGACCACGTTGATGTAGATTTGTCTTACTAGCCAAGTAGTGTGATTGAGTTCTCGAAACAAAAAGTGGGATGCAATTTTCACAGACACGACTCGAAACGTCCGTGTTCACCGCAACAAGGATTTTGCAATACTATCGGATACTCTAGTCATCAATTTCAAAGCACCAACAGCACAGCACAGCACGCTCAAACAATATTCCGAGATCGGATATTATTTCGTATACTACGAGAGAATTCCAAGAATACGGATAAAAATCAATTCGATCGCGTCGATAGTTCCTAGTGGATAAGTCTTCCTAGCAAAAAACCCTCAAAAAATCAAGGATTGAGGGAAAATGCTTATTTAAGCGGATCAGATAAGATTGATTACATGTGATTTAATCTAATCAGATGACGCTAAATAGACTTCGCTTGCTCTATGCACTGATGAAGAGGTTTAAATTTGATCAATGTTCGTGATTACAAGGGTTGTTGTGGGTTGATGTATTGGGCCCCCGCTATGAGACGTAATGGATAACTGTCAGTGACATTCTGGATTGATGAGAATGGTAGTTTGAGGGGTCAACAAACACTATTAAAAGAAGAAGACTAACTAACAAGAATGTTCTATTTTCTTGGATTCGGAAGAGAAACAAAACTGTTTACAACTATGGGCCTGCAAATGTTGGATATGATGTATATGTGATTTTTCCCGCCTAAACACAATATCAAATCAATGTCGGCTTGCACGAACAAGGATCACCAGGAACGATAAGGTGGAATAATTTGCAGGGTATCCAAAAACTTTTGATATTATGACATGTTAATTACGAGGACCTGCCAAGGGTCAAGAGAAGAGCGGTAAATCTAGTGAATTACCACATGGCATTTGATAATATACGTCTGTAAAAATCCAAACTATTTTCCATACTTAGAATACTGTACCCTTGACTTGTGTCTTTTGGGCGACATTGATATTCTTAATCATCATAACCCAGACAAATGCCAAAGCAATAATGACAGTTCCTGCAATAAGCATTCTCTCTTGTGCATATCCATATGCGTGTTGAATAGCGATTCTAGTCTCGCTTCCCAATGGATAAGTGAGTTGAGTGGAGAGATCACCATAGATGTTATCGAAATCTGCCATAGCCGATTCAGGAAGATATCTCTCCAGAGCCTGTGGGAATGTGTTGGTCCAGATAGCACCACAAATAGCGTTTCCAATGGCACCACCGATATTTCCAACAACATAAAGCAACGCAAGAATGGCAGCAACGTGTTGATGGTCAGAAGCGGCGAGAACAGCGAGTTGTTCGACGATGATGAAAACACTTCCACCAATAGAGATGAAAATTTGACACATGACAATGTAACCGATGCTTTGATTGGGTTGACGGAAGTAAATCATGAGACCTTGAGCGAAGACGTAAAGTGGAACCGCAATATACAAAAGCCACTTGAAGTATCCGGTCTTGCGAATCAATACACCGACTCCCAGAAGGAGGATACCAGAAACAACATCAAAAGTGTCGCTCACATAACCAGCCTCTGCTATAGTCAAGTTGTTGACAACTTGCAGAAAAGATGTGAAGTAACTGTTCCAGCAGTAGTAAGAGATTTGATATGTCAAATCAAGCAGACAAGCGCCAATGACAGTTCGGTTTGCTAAAAGGTTAACGTCCAAGAAAGGAGTCCTGGCAAGGTAGGTTTCGTAAAGCGCAAAGATAACGAGGACCACAAATCCAACAACAATCATAGCAATGATATAATCCGTTTGCCAACCATTTGGTGCAGTGTCAGCAAGTGTGAATGGCAACAAAAACACGGTGAAACCTCCAGCAAAGAGAACAACACCAAAAGCTAGTCAATGGTCAAAAAAATGCCAAATGCGCATCTACGTTGGAAAAGCATGACTTACCATCAAATTCTACAAAGTAATGCCAGATGTTCTCTGTAAGGGTTCGGCCACTGCTCTCTCTAATCAAAACACCTGTGTTCTTTGCCTTTTTGAGATTTGTCTTCAAAATAAAGTATAATGGTGCTGCTACAAATGGTAAGATGATAGCAAAGGTACCGAATCCCCATCTCCAGCTGATGTTATAGTAGTAATCATCAGAGACCTTTGGTCCAGCAAATGCTGTAATAATGTATGGTGAAGAAGTGAAGGCGTATGCAAGACCTCGATTCTTTAATTTCGAAACATCGGCAGTGATGACGTCAATACTGTAGATCAAACCACCAAATCCAATGGAGTAAAAGACCTAGAAAAAGAAGATTAGTGTGCTGAAGGTAAAAAAATATGGCATGGCGAGAAAGTACCTGTGCAGCACAAAAGGTAGCAATACCATTGCAAGCCGCCATCATGATCAATCCAATGGTAGAGAATAATACCATGAGAAGGAATCCTTCAGCACGACCCCAAAGATCCAACATCTTCGCAAGTGGAATGTAAATGGCGGCTGTCATAGCATTCGCAACGATATTAATAACGGTAATCAAAGAATGCGATTCGAAAGCACTCGTGGCGAATGGAATAAGATTGTAACAAATTGAAGATTGCATGGCATTAACAAAGTAAAGCAACCACATGCTGTCATTGAATAGTTTAGCTTCCATATCAGGACATGAGAATAACAAGTGGGTGCACATACTTTAGGAAAACGGCGATGAGCATTGGTTTGGTCCATGTTAAAGCCACTGCTTCGACTTCTTGAACACCACGTTGTGCAGTTTCGGTTGGCAGAGCATCTTTTTCGGCTTGCTCTGAGATTGGTAGGTCATTGGCACTGCTTGGAGAAATAGCATCGTCGGCACCAGTGACTGCGGGCTTTGCAGGATTTTTTTCGTTTGAAGATGACATATCAGCCATAGCTACTTCTGAACTTTCATTGATTATATCCTCGGTAGCCTTTCGACGGAATCCAGGTCTGAATTTTGATAATGCCCCCATGATTGCGGTTTGTCGATTCCGCAAATGTTTCGGAAATCAATGGAAGGACGTCACAGAAGAATTGGAATGGTATAGGTAATACAAAGCAACGAGTGCATCGTAGGAGACGGCCACTACTAATACTTAAAATCTCGGCCTACCTTTTGACACGGCTATTCACATCCACATGTGCCCATTCATTCATAGCTGCAGCTAGGACAAGGTTGGGAAATTTCGCATGCTGCCGTGTGCTTGGGACAGCCAAGAAGTATCCCATAAAGTCCCACAAGTTAGTGATTGTCAACGAGCTTCGGCGTGGATTAGGACGCGAGTAATAGGAAGATTCATAAAAGATACACACAAGGTAAGGCAGGCTCAGGCAAGTAAGAAGCAGATTGAATGAGCTTGGAGCTGCGTATTCCACGCACATCAATCAATCAGAAAACGTTTTCAAACACATCTTTTTCCTAAGAGTGGACATATTGCCGAATGTCGATGGATCCATGAACAAGGTGGGCAGAAATTTGAATGGGTCGATTGTGTTAACTATTACCGGAGACAGGTGATTAGCTGGTTAAAGGCGTCTAAGTGGGGTTAGGTGGGATCAAGTGGGGATAATTGAGCTAGCTTTTATCTAATCTGATCAAAATTTTCATCGATAACCAGGGATGAATGGCAGGAAGTAAATTTCCCGACTCACCTACTTATTAAAACTTAGACCGGCTTTTCCTCAAGTAGGCAACAACTGTATAAATGGCGTTACATTACTGCTCGCCACCACCACTTCCATGGGTGAAATCGGAATGTGTGTTTGGTATCGAAGCCGGTCTCGATTTCGGTACCGTGGTACCAAGGACTAGTGACCATTATGATAATCTAATCAGATTGACTAAATCAAAGCTTTAAGCTTTTCAAAATTTATCTAATCTGATCGACATCTTCATCATGATTCATGACCAGGAAGATAAAGTTCTCACTCATCTGATATATGTTTGAGGTGGTCACTATAAGATCGTAAGTCATCGTATATATGCCTGACACCACATTGTCATCACCAGAATCCTGAAATCGGAAATTCGGAAGCTATGTGGAGTACAAAGTTTTCGTGGAACGGATCGTTCACATGGGATGCATTCACACTTGACTATTTCAGAGAGAAGACAAGCGAGTGCGGGTGGGACCGAGTAAGTAATTACGCCTCGAGCTCACCTATGTACATAATCAGATTGATCAGATAACAAGGTACCAATGAGAATTGAAAAGAGGGTAATACTTTATTGGGTATCAACTATCATCTCTAACAGGATCATCAGATCAATCCGATAAGATTTCAACAACGAGAAGAGGATTTGCCTCTTTCGCATTCGGGGGTTAACCCCCACTACCTAGATGGCATTGGCCCAATCTAGCGTCCGCGTAGACGAATTTATTTTCCATCTCGTGACCCTCGTTCCAAAAATTAAAGCCAGCACCGGACAAAATATCCGGGATCGGGCATTTGACCATTGTGGGCAGTGCGCTTCAAGCGATAATGAGGCACCACTCTTGTATGCGGCGTCCGTGGAGAAGCCTGAGTAGGTTTTCCGTCTTGTTGGTAGTCATTCTCGGTAGCAAAGACCCTTATTTTTCTAAACAGTATCTAGCATTAACGTCAATAGTTCCATGCAGTGTGATGTCAAACTAAGTTGACGCGCAACACTGCTTTTAAGTGCAGTGCTGAATTGATCGACTCGCAAGTCATCGACCAGGATAAATAGTGCCAGTGTCAAATCATTAGGTACTTTCGATGTTTTCGGAGATTTGACGCTAGCAAGATACGTAAAATAGTAAATTTGAGATCAGTCATACCCCACGTAGCACATTGATTAATTCTTCTCAAAAAGTGAAAGTGCTCGTCGAGTGATACATGAAGATAGGATGTGGGAATTTCTATTAATCTCATCTGTGGCTGAAACCACTCTGATCCAAGGGCGATACTTAGCTTCCGGCGAAAAGCCAGTCGGATGGCTACAGTCGACAGCAACATAAGAATGGAATCACATAGTATATATTGAATTACATCTTCCTCGTCCAGTATGTGACAGCAAATGATGGAATTTACTCGCAAGTCAATATGAGCTGTGAGACCTGAGCATCACGATCCCTGAGCGCCTAGGTCTGACTTACGTCTTAAAAAGAGAGAAACCACTCGATCCGAATCTCTGCGTTGCTCCTAAGCAATATCAGACTCTAACCCACGGAATAGATATGCTCGAAAAAGTGCTTGGAATTAGAATTGGCTGTTATCATTTTATTAATGGGTTGTCAAGATGGATAGAATGAAGGTTGTTGAATTTAGAAGGGATGAGAGAGACGGAATTAAGGGGTTATAACTACTTCATCGCCGGCCTATTGCTCGTGGCATCGAGAACGGATCAAATGGCTCACTAGAGCAATCTGAATGAACCATAAGCTTCAGTAGCAAGTCTTTTTCTTCTTAAATCTGCTTGCAGTGCCTCTCAAGAATCCTGATTGGCAAACTAGACACGGTACCTGCAGATGAAATTGAGAAGGGATTTGTGAAAGTAAAGTTTTGCGAGGAAGATCCCAAGTGGTATAATCTTATAAATATTTATGATTACTTACCATCATTGTAGACGACCGAAGCATTTGTAGTCTTTGATATACCCGAGAATGTCTCCACCCGAGAAAACATACACTCGTGTACCTAGGTAGTTTGATCTTAAGCGGCAAATAACGACTTAAAAACAAATATAGCCCCCACTCCACCAACAACCATTGCGACGAATAGAGCAGCGCCCTCCTTTGTACCTGTGAAGTACATTGTATACCCTACAACCAATTCCAGCATTCTAGCTCTCTCCCTCTTCTTCTTCCAATCAATGTCGATATCAAATGGCATTTTGACCCTAGGATCATTTACACCTTCCTCCTCTTCGGGTTCTGGAATAGGTAACAAAGGAATCGTTACATCCAAAGCTACAGCTCTATGATCCGATGTTGGAAGAAGAGGTAATGCGGAGTATTTGTTTGGAATAATTTTGGCCTCTGGATCACTCTGCTGTACCCAAGATGGCATATCAAGGAACAGGATCCTATCACACCAACTCGGCCATCTATGCTTTGCCCAAGGCCATTTGTTCAATTCTTCATCGGAGGTGTTGAATGGTCCTTCGGCATCATATTTATATGTAGGCGGGAACGATATTGGAGCTTCGATGAGCCCATGGCAAGTTCGACCAGCTAGTCTTTCTTGGTTGAGTTGATCGTTTTTGAACAGGGTTGAATAATGATTGGAAGATGAAGCAGAATCTTTCGGTTGTGGAAATGTGTTGATGTGATCATTTGGCGCCGGGGAAAGTAAGGAGGTTCGATAATTCAAGTCGCCGCCGAAAAATAGATGGGATGTTGCTTTGAAGATTGAACCATCTTGTGGTGAAATTGATAACAATGGTCTATCTTCATCACCTCGAGGTAAAGTTGTGGAATGATTTGAGGTTGTCGAAGAAAACACCAATCCGCGCACAATATCTTTCCAGTCTTGATTGCGTCTTTGCAGTTCTTCTTCCATGGCAGCAAGATGTGCCGCAACAAATGTTAACTCTGTTGAGGTATTTCCACTTCCATATGTAAATCTTATTCCAACTGCTCCTTTATTTCCCATTGACCAAGCTCCTACCCCAATTTCAGCAGCCTCTAGATCTTGTATAAGTGTTGGGTCCTTTGCAAATATCATAATTCCCGTCAAGCCAACATTCCGTGCTGCTATCGAAGTATATGCCGACCCATCGTTTGATAATTTCTTTGAAGCTTTTCCGACCGCATCGTGGAATCGATTGAAGTATGGTACCAGAAAGGATCCACCTATAAGAGAATATGGTATGGGCGCAATTTCTTGTAAGGAGAGAACGAGTAGGTCTGGTAAGTTAGGAGATGAGAGACCATTAAAGAGTTGAGAGGCAAATGCATCAGTATCGATAAGAGCGAGACCACAATTAAAGGTCAAAAAATATAAACTTAATGTCTTCATCTCTGAGGAACTTGCCATATCTGGTTGTGTAGAGTTCAGGTATGAATCAAATCATGACCATTCATATAGTGACTTTGTGTTTGCTTTGTCTTGATGTTGATGTTGATGTTGATGTTGATGGATCTCAAGGAAAGGTAAGGTAAGGTAAGAGAAGCAACGATATGAATTAAGAATCTTGGCCTTAACTTAAGGTTACCGACGTCACCAGGCCACATGTTTTGGCGCATTCCCGCATTCAACGAGAAAAGTCACAGGCCAAAGTCACAAGTTACCTACTTCAATAAGTTACATTATATCTTCAACAATGGAACTCTCTTAGGTATTATGTATTTGAGAAACGAATGTAAATATAAAGCTGGAGAGAGATTAAGTGCACACGAACATTTGGAGGAACGAGATTGAGCTTATCAACCCCGCATATCCCCAAGCGCAAACCACTTGTCAATTTGCCGAATTGCAACGCAAAGGAACAAATTAAGAACTTCTCCAAAATCCAGCAAAATCCAGCAAAATCCAGCAACCTAAAACATAAAAACCTTGCCTTATTCTGGGATCTTCATTCCCCTCGATGTTGATCAAGATCGAAATGGTGGGGCCCAATGATAGGTCTGAGACATCTGCACTTTGGAGCGTGATCTTGAAGTCAAGAACTCCCTTAACAAGAATCAAAATTCTCAAGTGTTTCACTATGGAGATGTCAATTGTATTGGAAATGGGATGATATCAATTTCCCTACGTTCATAGTTGAGATTCTGAGAAAACCACAATATCAAGCTCGTTGGTTGACTCAGACTATAAGCAAAAGGTCTTCAACAGTTTGGCTACGGTTCGACAAGACGGCAGTCAGTCTTGCAACAATGTGATCTTATATTCTAAGCTGGCATATATTGTTTGGAAAGATCAATTACTCTGAGTCGTGAAAATTCTTAGTCTTCAAGCTTCTGCTAGGTTCCCAATTCCGCATCCGAATTAGGTCTGCCAGAGGAACCCCGGGTACAGAGTTATTGATTATCAATAGTTGCAGATTTTGCAGAGGAATTTGGATCTGAACGTAGAAGGTGGGGAGTGAAGCATTGAAGAGAAATTGTTCGTTATTTTGAGAGAAAGTAGAGCCGATTATGTATATTCACATTCATCTTGAGATCAAGTACTGAGATAATACAGTTCAATCACGAGTGACATAAAGCACGTAGGTGAAAGCATTATAAGCTTGATAAGCTTTTGGTTTCTCTGCAAGTATAGTGGGATGTTCTAGCAGGGGTTACATGCAGGTAAGATGACGGCTTACGATTAAAGATTGGTTCAAATGTACGAGTATGTACACTATTCTTTGACGAAGAAAACTTAACCAACAGTTGGAAATTGATATCTATCTATATAAGCATTGCAAGTGGGTGCAGAACTGCCCGTTTTCTCCCTCTGAATATAGGAAATCTTTTTCTTCAACTGGACTTTCAGCACGTCATGACTTCAACTTCAGAGTATCTAGAGCATGGTCTCTCCACTCACATGGCCAACAAACTTCCTAAATTGGCGCCACTGGGATTTCTATCATATGTTGCACCACCAGATATAATACGTTTAGAGCAAGCCGAGAATCGTTTACTAAGACCTCAACTGTTGAGCATATGTAAAGATGCTCTGAATGAAGGTCTTAGCGAAGATGTACAGAATTTTCTACGGTCTTTTTATCAATACTCATGCTGACATATCCTAGAGTTTCCTCTACCCTACAGGTCTTGGCGGCGAAGCAGCAATGCGAAGAGGATTCGCTTCATTCTTCAATACACATTTCAACCCTTCATTAAAGGTAGAAGAAGATCATGTCTCGACGGGCAGTGGTTGCGCAAGTGTTCTTGATTCACTGATGTACTCTATTTGTGATGAGGGAGACATCGTGTTGGCCTTTGCTCCAGTTGCCCGTTAGTGCCCGCGTTCCAAATGGCTATATCTCTGCTTTCTCGATTTGAGTCATTGACAGTCTCGTGCATTTGACCCTCGAGAAATCGCCCTACTGATCTCATAACTCTTCAATACAGGAACTTTCGATATCTTCACCAGACTCCATGCACCCGCCACCATTCTCACCATACCTTCACCAGACTTTCGCAGCATAGTGGATGCCGACTCAGTCGATCGTCTAATCGCCACCTACAATTCATGTCCCACTCAGCCCCGTATCAAAGCTCTCTTGATGTGTAATCCTCACAACCCTGGAGATGACACTTATTCCCCAGAGACTCTTCGCAGACTGATGGATTTCTGTCATGAAAAACAAATTCATTATATATCTGATGAAATTGGTACTCTCTCAGCATTTAATACAGATGCCGAGAAGCCCTTTACCTCTGCTTTAAGTTTGGTAGAAGAGGGAAGGGGAATTGATCGGAGTAGAGTCCATGTTATGTGGGGTCCAAGTAAAGATTTCGGTTGTGCTGGTATGAGAGTGGTGAGTCAAATACTTTCTACCCTTTATGAAATAGTGAGATTGAGACAACTGGCTTATAGTGATCAGGGATGTATCGTATCACAAGCAAATAAGCCTTTACTTTATAGCATATCATACTCGAATGTCTGGCAAGTTTCAACGCCAAGCAGTTTGTGCATGACAGCGATTCTTACGTCACCGCAACTTCCGGCTCTTGTTCAAGCTAATAAGGAAGGACTAAGAGTTTCATATGATTTATTGACATCTACTTTGGAACGTTGGAATATAGATTACGTTCCTGTAAAAGCAGGAATTCTGATATTTGTTAGAATAGCAGCAGATGCAAAGGTAAATGGATGACTATCTTATTTTCCCTTCTCACAAAGAGTCCCGTGCAGAAGCAGACCTTCTCCACGTCTTTTTCCATGGGTTTGAAATTTGTGTTTGCCTGAAAAGCTATCATCAGATAAGTTAACTAACATGTATAATTTCACAGAATGCGCAAGACGAGATGGAAGTCTTGGTAAAGTTGAGGGATGAAGGAGTTTTGATGTCACCAGGAGGGGGATATTTGGGCTCTTACGGAGAATTTGGATGGGCGAGATTGACATTTGCTGTGAAGCGGGAAGTTATGGCGGAGGCACTTGATAGGATGAAGAAAGTTCTGAGGCCAACTCTCATTGTTTGATCGCCCTAGAAACGAATAAACACCAACTTCTTGGCGACCGAAAGGATAATCATATAAGTTTATCGGGACATAGTATCATTGATTTCACAAATTCCGCTGTAGCATACGGATGCAACCTCAAATGTCAAACAGTACAAGCCCAGGGACTTCCGACATCTCAAAATGCTCTTTAAACCTCCTGTAAACGTCACAGATATTTTCTCCATTGACCTGCCCAAACGCTTTTCCAGAAAAGATCCACATGCCAACAGCAGTTGAAGGATTTTTCTCCAATTCTTTATGGCCTTCTTCACCCCTCAGAAAGCCATGCTTAGGGATATTCATACCGAGATTATTCTTGTAAAACTCGAGAGATTCCTCCCATTGGGCTAGTTCGTTCTCTCTATTAACGGTCAACCATCTGACGCATCCCAAACTTTGTTGACATATGTTTCTCAGTATCTTCTCCCCATTCCTGAAGAGGTGATAGTCGTGTGGTTACACATACATAAAAATTGAAAGCGGATCTATGCCTTACACCCAAAATTCCTTCTAGGATGCACCAGCTATGGTAAAATCAGCGTGGATCCCGCCAGAAAGCTAATTGTTTTAGATCTGGTTAAATTGGTGTAGGATCCCTCTCCAACCATTCAAAGTTGATACTGGATTTTCCCATTTGTTTCATAAAAGTCATGATAGGACATGTCTCTGGTAAGTGAGGTCTTCCCATGCGCGGACTTATATTGCTGTAGATCCTTGAGTCGCATAGTAACTTGTCAACACACCACAATGATCGAAGCTTGGTACTGAGCATATCAACGAGGGATGCGATGGCTGTAGGATGATGAGGAACACGTGAAGTTCCATAACCCATACCGCGATCACGACGTTCTTGACATGAATTTCTCAAAAAAGTCAGTGTTTCATTGTAAAAGGGTACTTCATTATCTGGTTGCATCTCTTCCTTAGCTCCATTTCGAAATGTGTTAAGAAATGTGTCGGAGTCAAAATCAACCATCTCAATATGTCCGGAGAGTATATTAGAGGGATGTGAAATATCAATAAACTATCTCCTGATTCTTCCGCCAAATCCAGATGCATCAGGCCTTCATCTTCTGGATCATAAGCTCTGATATCATGAAGAATATCAGCGAGCATTTGAGGAGCTTTATCCCAATCCTGCAAGAACAATACATCATACTCAGGATTGATTCGAATACAACCTCGAGTAAGAGGTAGGCAAATACGGTAAAAGTCTAGTGCTACTGATCTTGATTCTATTGTGGCATAGAATATGTGGTTGGTTGTATCCAAGATGGGTTTATTTATAGAAAGCTGGTAATGACCTCCGCTTATAATCTTGCCCAGTTCATTATATTTAGAATAGAAGTGTGATCGATCATGGTGGCTTGAGTTGTCCTGACTAGCTGTCTTACTTACACAAATCGGGATGAAGCGGTTTTAGTGAAGAGATAAAGTCCATATCTTTAGGCGTATCTCTTTAGGAAAACGAGAGAAGCAGTGAAATCTTGAAGACTGATTCTGCTTTGACTGATTTAAGTGAATGTCATTAAAAAGTGCAACCATTATCGTATTGTATGTTGCAAATGCACTGTTATAGCTACAGGGCTGTATGAAATGAAGTGCGCATAGGATCGAATTTGTGCCTAGAAAAAATCTGGTCTATGTCTTTGATTAAATACCATTCGGTACAATATCTGCAACCTAGATGTCATTCTGCGTTGTAGCATTCAAAAGTAAGAAGAATGCGAGTTCTCGTTTCCCAGTGCGGTCGTCTGAAGCTGGGTCATATTTCGTGTTCAGACTCGATGCTTGCTAAGACTGCTTCTGTATTTGTGACAACATGCTAAGATTTTACTACGAACGTGCAGAAATTATAAGTAAAAGCGATCGCGAGCTTAAGACTAACCTTGTATTTCGAGATCGCGGGTAATCTTGACAAGATGGCAACTAGAGATATTATTCTGTATGATTCATGAGCTAGTACCAATGTCAAGTTAAGGAAAATAGAAACATGAAGAACTCTGGGATAGCCTGTCTATCTCCTTCTATCGTTTCGTACTCTGAACTCTCAAAGTTGCCCATGGACAACGTGAATACCGAGAGGTTGAAATACCTGCTCTCTGGCGTTGCGGACTGAGAGTACTAAACAAAAAACAAGACCACTTGTAGACTTTGTAATCAGCGCGTGAACAAGTCAAACATACAGATACCAGAGGGGCTGGGCGCCCTTGATTTAATGGCAGACGATTACAATCATTTGTCAGTTCAGGAACAAGATATCAAGTTCCTCAGAAGCCGAGTAGAAGAGTTAGAAATGAGGAATTATTGTTTTCGCAAGCAGACAAATCAAACCAGCAGTCGTACTTGAATTGTGGTGTTGTAAAAGGAATGCACAGAAATGAACTAAAAACAAATAGGATATTCCATTCAGCATCTAGTATGGTGGCGAGAGGAGCAGAGAACTATTCGTGCTTTGGATGTAATCTTTTCGGCCGAGAGCTCAGTTGCAGGGCTACTTGAGAGCGATTGATAGACTAGGTAAGTGGAATCACGCAGGATAAATATGCATGAAACAAGATACGAATTGATAGCTGTAGGTAGGTAGTGACTGGTGAGTTCAAAGCTCTCAGGATTGATCGTGGTCACATGTTCGAATGAATAGAACGAGATGAGAATGACCACTAGTCACACCGCCTGGCAGAATTATCCATTCTATTCCAACTCCTCACCCAACGATGATTCATGTTTTTCAATCCAGTCACTCGACTGTCCTGATTACGTTCCTCTTCAAGACGGGCTTGGATCTATGTACTGTATGTGTCAACCATACAAATTTCTTGAGGGGAACTAAAGATTTCCTGACATATTCACAGAGACATAAAAAGTGTTTAAAGTTTGTCACCTCTGTGGTAACTTAATGTAAACCGCCGAATGACATATCATCAGATTGAAGACTATACACAGGCGCGAAAACCCCGACTTCTTATATTGAGCGTCATGAGTATGGATATACCATAATATCCCCAACCACTAACCCCAAAACACCAACTTCGTCTTTTCACCTTCGTTCAGTGGTGGAATAACTCCAAGGAAGCTTGACATCGCCAAACGGCGCGTTCCTATCTCGGAATAGACAGGATGTACTTGGTGCATATTGCGAGAATTGAAGAGGTATAGATCACCAATGTGAGGTTGGAAATCTACCTTTTGACGTCCCTCAACAAGACCTGGAAAGTATCCATAACTATCAGGGTCACGAAATTTTAACGCTTCGGAAGACCACTGCAAATCGTGAACAGTAGTACCACCACTGTTGATGGGTGGTGGGGTTATGCAGAGATTGGCCGCAAGTTGATGGGTCAATCGGCTAATCGCCCATGATTCCGTCCGAGTATCATAAGGTGCCCAATCGCAATGAACTGGTGTTCCGTTGTTGATTACTCGAAAGATGCCAGCGAAGTAAGATTGTGTCCCGTCGTCTACTACCTCTGTTGCAATCATGACCTCCCAGTCTTCAGGTGCAATTGATTTAATAAACTCAAAGACCTTAGCGAACGCATTCACGCCAATTTCCGCTTCTAACTTTCCATGCGGGTCGCCCAGATCGCGTACAGCCTGAAAGTATTCCTGCTTCTCTACATATGCAATTAGCAAGTGTCTACATGCCTTGGCATGAGAATGACTTTGGAGGGCTTGCTTTTGACAGCACTTACCGTTTCCGGACCTATTTTTCAAGTCATCCTCACTTTGTGCTTGAAACTCAAACTGAGCAACGCCTACTTTTGCCAATTTTGGGCCAGTAGCATGGAGATACGGCGTAAGTCTTGGCTCCAGTGTCTTAGTGAGCTTAGAACAATCCTCTTTGGAAAGGAATTCAGGCTCGTGAAGGATAGGAGTTCGACCTTCCAAGAGATCTAGCAAGGATGCCTTTGTAGCTCGAACCGGTTTGGTGGTTTTCCATTTCAATTCAATGACTGGATTCGCCTTGAGATCGTGATGAAGATCGGGTGTGATTTCACTGGCTGCAATCATGATTTTTGATTACAACCGCAATGTTAGGAGAACAAATTGTTTTGGAAATCAGCTAACGAGAGAAAAGCTATACAAATATCATCCTAAATGGAGGCTTGGGGGATATATATATATTGAGCCAAATCTCTTTACAAAATCAAAAGCAGCTTTCTACATGGACTTTCCGCTTGATACAATCGGAAATTGTATCTCGTGAATCTAACCTCATTTCACTCCGATTTTTAATTTAGGATATAGTGCTGACCAACGGGAATATCATCGCTTAAGAAATTTCTTCAGCAGCGATATTATACACAATCACAATTTTAGCTATTAATATTATGCGGGAATATCTACTTCAGTGCTGGAATTATTTGTAACACCATGCACAAGAATTCCTTGACATTGATTTTATGTATGAGCATATATTGTCGTACTGACATCATGCATCCTGTCCCAAGATTGGCTATCATGACAGAAATAATCAACCGGATATCTACAGCACTAATGCCGTGCATGCACGGATGATTTCTTAGGTTGTAAATTGAAGGAATCGGATTATCCAATGGCCATGTTATGATAGGTTACACGGCATTGCTAATCGTCCCATCAGCAGAATCATATCAGTTTCACCAACCTCTGGATATTAGTCGACGAATCAAACCGGAAACTTTGAATGAAACGAGCTCCAGTTGCGTTTACACCATTGACAAGAAAAAATGGCTCGTACTAGCTGGAAATACATGTGGCGTCTGTGAGACATTCAGAACCCCGTCGCTGATATGCAAACAGTTGAAAAAAAAAAATGCGTTTGATTGGACAAAGTCGCGAAACAGCATGTTGCATATATCAGCCATGACGACGTAAGATTTCTCAACATTCTTGTAAAAGTACAGAATTCCGAGAATATAAAACTATGGCTTTGAGCATTTCATACCATAGGCGAGCAATCGGAACCGGGCTGCTTTTCTGAACAGCAATTTTATGCATGCGCCTCTGTGAACCTTGAATTCTAGCCAGAAATTTCCGAGATAACAAACTTGTAAGTCAACTACCCCACTTTCCGACCACCCCCTCTTTTCGACCACCTCGAAAACCACACCGCTTTGAGTAATTATAAAATTTACACTTTGAATAACTCAACGATGCTTTAATCAATTAATTTGAAATTTTGATATTATCATAATTGTGATATGAAGAATAGATATACCAAAGAAGATATCGCAGAGGCTCTTAGAGCGATTACAAATGGAGCAAGTATACAAAGAGCTAGCTTGGATTATGGTGTTCCACATACCACACTTCACAATCGAATATATAATGGAGTTTCACATCAAAAAGGTGCCCAAATACTTCAAAAGTTATCTCCAATTCAGGAGAATCAACTAGTAGAATGGATATTAGTATAGGAAGCTCTTAGTACTAGCCCTATACATCATCAAATCAGAGAGATGGCAGAGCACCTCCTTATTGTACAAGAAGAGGATCCCTCACTTGGAAAGAAATGGATACATAGCTTTTTTCAAAGGCATCCTAATATTGGAACTAAGAAGCAATATCAAATCGATTCTGCACGAGTTTCAGGTGCTACATCTGATATTATTAAGAAGTGGTTCCGGAACCTCGCAATCCCTGAAATCAAGGCTATTAAGCCGGCCAATAGATGGAATATGGATGAAGCAGGTATAATGAAGGGTCAGGGTCTTAATGAACTAGTAGTAGGAAGCACTGATCGAAGATTTATTCAAAAAAAGCAATCTGGATCTCGAATTTGGACCTCTTTTATAGAATGCATTTCAGCCAATGGAAAAAGCATTACTCCCCTTGTAATATATAAGGGAAAATCAGTTCAACAACAATGGTTTCCAACCGATTTGACTCTATTTAAGGGTTGGAACTTTACCGCTACAGAAAATGGATGGACTACAGATGCTACAGCTTTAGAATGGCTGAAAAAGATCTATATCCCTCAAACTACCCCTATTCAGCCGGAAAATTCAAGACTCCTCATTTTGGACGGACACGGAAGCCATGAAACTACAGCATTTATGTTAGAATGCTTCAATAACAACATATATCTCTTATTTCTCCCACCACATACATCACACGTACTACAACCACTCGATTTATCTGTGTTCTCACCCCTAAAAAGTGCATATCGAATCGAACTTAATAAATTAAGTCTATTATCCGATTCCTCACCAATTGGAAAGCGCAATTTCCTTTCTTGCTATCAGAAGGCTAGAATAGAAGGTTTAACTATTCAAAATATCAAGTCTGGGTGGCAAGCTAGTGGTCTTTGGCCCAAAAATATGGCTAAACCTCTTATGAGTCGACTTTTGCTTGAAAATAGCAATAAAGAGGTTTTATCACTTAATCCTGAATCTGATGATGATCCTATTCTTCAATGGAATATACATTCATTGTTTATTCAATGGAAAACCCCTCAAAAAGGAGCCGATATCAGAAAATATAGAGATATAATGATTCAAGAGAAGGAGATCGATTTGCCAACACAAAGATTACTATTTCGCAAGATTATAAAAGGATTCGATGCTAAGGATTATAAACTCTTAGAGGCAGAGAATAAGATTAGAAAGCTAGAATATCAATTAGATGAAGCATTACCTAGAAAAAGGCGAAAGGTTGTGGTATCTCCAAATTCGAAGTTCGCAGGGATTAGAGCTATAAGGCGTACACAAATTGAAGCGGGAGATCGTGAAATTGAGGGAGATGATAGCTCTAGTGCTATAGAAAGTGATTCTACAGGCGATTTTATTGAAGTTCAATAGTTATTGAGTTATTAAAGTTTTAAGTGTAGATAATATGATTTTTTTAGGTGGTCGGAAACAGGGGGTGGTCGGAAAGTGGGGTAGTTGACTTATCACGCACTATTTTACGGCAAGTATCGGAGAATATAAAGAGAGATAACTACGTTAGGAGCCTGTATTGGCCCCATCGATAGGAATCTGTGGGTTTAGCTGTACGGATCCAATTTCTCATGAGCCGCTGCACACACTCACTTGATACTGGCTGGAAGTGGTTGAATAGATATTATCAGCATTGCCGGAATGTTGAATAACAATCATATTAGCAATCATATTTACTGAACGCCGAAGGCTAACGAGATGCTCATGGCAGATGTTATTAATACCACTCAAAGCTCCTTAAGACAACCACCTTAGATTCAAGTATAAACCAACTCTTACATTCTTTCAGAGCTCCTTCCCCCTTCCCGCTCATTCCAAAAGCTACCATCGTGTTTCCATTTTGATGATAGCAAGTGGGTTACAGTTGCAGTTGCCAGATCATAGTATTGATATCTAGGTATCTAGTCAACAGAGTTTGTGGCGTACTTGAGCTGCTGAATGTAACCCCTTCGGTTTCTCAACTGCATATAATCATAACTGACACCGCAGATCCTATCAAATAATACGTAATTGCCGACACAGCGTTGTTCACTCATGATGTGACAAATGTTCGCGTTGATATAGGTGTGGATTGTGGCGTCCCTACGCCACCTCTGACAGACTTAATTGACTCCTGAAAGCTTGTCACACCGACTGGTCTGTATAACTAGGCGGTGGTATTATAAATACATATGGCCCATGTAGGTGTTGTGTAACTTGTGTTACAATTTGTATATCATCAACACCAAAGATTTCATTGGCATACTGGTCAGATTTCACATATTGAACTTGGATCTTAGATCCAAATAGCCACAAGCTTGGGTTCGAGTGAGAGACTGCTGATATAAAGGTCAAAATTCATCTCAATATAAATCTATTTCTGATACATTGCTTGTTCCTGATGAAACACTCGTTGCCTTCTTTGCTTTTAGGCTTGAATAAGAAATCATCACCTTCTAAAAATTGAAGAGCGTCGTGTGCAATCTTACTGTTTGTTTTTTGCACGGGAACCTGCCTCTGCAAGTTCTCATAACATTTGCGATCTACATGATAATGATATGGCGGAGTTTAATGGACTCACGAAGCAATGAGGCGACAAGGTGCGCCGTAGAAAATGCAATGAGCCATAGGAAGTTTCAATGAAAGCACAGTAAAAATGGTTTCAGCCATAGCCGTCAACAAATTCGAAACGATCAATATTCGAGAGTGTAATCTTCCGCAATCTCACCTTCATGATTAGTCTGCCTTGAAATATTCACTTTTTAGTTGACCAGATTGGGTTATTACATTATCGCAAGATTTCACCACATCATCTTCAGCGACCATGCAACTCGAGAATTTGTCACTCATACAACTATTGCAAAAGGTCAATATATAGAAACTTCCTTTCCACGCAAATGTGCTAAACGTATATAGGAACCAAGAATGGAGGAGATCAAGCGCACGAGGAGAAACCGACAGCATATAGTGGGTGGAGGTACAAGACGACTCTTCAACAAAAAACCAAGAAGAGACGTCAACTGCCCAAGAAAGATGGATGACTGGGACCGTAAGTCTTCCTGTTTCTGTAGACTTCGACGAAATATACTAACTACACAACGCATAGTTTTCGCTCTGCATCCCAAGACGGACTTAATTATCCCAAAATCGTCCTTCGCACGTTTGGCAAGAGGAATCACGGAACTTATCAAACCGGAAGAAAATTACGAGATTGATCAGCTTGCCTTGGATTCTTTGCAGGAATGTGCCGAAGCTCATCTTGTTCGGGAATTTGAAAGTGAGTCTCTACTTTCTCTTGGGTGATTTTGATACTAATATGATAGTGGCCACTATGTTCACTGCTCGTGCGAGTAGAGCGACGATTCATTCGAAAGATATGAAGGATGCAAAGTTTATCAGGGACTTACGGGATGGATACACGGTTCGATTGGAGACGGAGAAGATAAACAAAATGGGAGAGACCAAGGAGTCAGACTGATGATGGATTCTTGGAGATTTTCATAGCAGTTGGTACTCCAGGGCCTCTTGATAAATGTCGCAAAAGAGATACTTCTATTGTCATGGAAAACGAAAGGTTGCATAGTTAGTTGCAGGTAATATGTGTCTGATTACCTCGATAAATGAAGGTGTTTTATTCCCTTTAGACTTCTCATCCTCAAGCAAAACGAGTTGAAGAAATGAAAATTACGAGTGTACTCTTGCCTTCTACAATCAAATCAATGACTGAACTCATTAGTTGGATAGCTTCTCCGACAGATCTTTTACAGCCGCGTGAACCTCGTCTTGTTCTATTTGACTTCCAACCGTTTGTTCACCAAACGCATGAGTTCATGCGTTTGACGATTTATCCGCTTACCACAATATTATACTCTGGCCAATGGGTAGCCAAGAAATTCACCAACATCATACCGACCAACAGTTCGTTTATTTCGGAATAGCTTATGATCTTGACCGATAGAACCGTGGTAATATTTCTTCCACGATACTTTCATATTCATAAGTATTCACTTCAATCTATGACTACAATGTTCTTGCGACCAATAACCACGCTTCTACTCCTCCCACCTCGCACATGGGGTGCACGCAACATCTACAAATTGTATCAGAATTATATTTCACCCAAAAAGATCGGTGTACCCATCATTATTCTCCCACTGAGTCCCCAAAATCCAATATGGATGCTACTTGCAGATATCATCGTTCCTCTCTTCCAGAAACTCAGTATTACTCGTTCGTGGCCATTGATCAGGTTCGGGAGAAGAGCATGGGGATTCAAGGATAAAGCACAGATTCATTTGGAAATCGGAGACATTTTTATTATGGTTACGGCGGATAAGAATGTTTTGTATATTTATGATGCTGATACTTTGAATGAGGTGCTACTGAGACGAAATGAATTCAAGAGGCCAAGAGAGGTTCTTGGTATGTCATCTACTAGATTGGGATAAAGCCTTACTTGAGCTCTTACTAACTCGGCTTAGAGATGTTGAATGTGTTTGGACCAAATATCTCTACGGTTAGTAGGATTACATACCAGCTAGAGAGAGAAAAATCTACCTCTGCTTATCGACTTACTATATACTATAGGTATCAGAGGAAGACTAGCCTCGACACAAAAAAGCCACAGGTCCACCTTTCAGCAACGAGCAAACCAACAACCTGGTATGGCAAGAAGTGCTTCGACAAAGTCAAGAAATGATGCATTATTGGATTGTCCAGGGGAAATTGGGACTTCGAACTACCGCCGAAGATGCCAAAACCTTCTCGCTCAACATCCTGACGAGTGCTGGATTTGGTAAATCATATCCTTTCAAGTCTTCACCAAACATAGATAATGATCCAGGTCATTCAATGAGTTACAAATAATCATTGAGCTTGATCATCGGGAATGCAATTCCAATCCTGATAATTGGATCTAAGAGCTCGTTTGATTACAAAATCCACACTGAATCCACTAAAATAATCCGCTCTTTATACCACCACAGATTTTGCAATAATAACAATCTACTTCAAAAAGAATGGATTATTAATTTATAGTTTTATAATTTATATATCAAATTCATTAAATAATCTATTAAAATAAAAGAAAATAAAGTATGTGTATAATATGTGTATAGATTAAATAGGATAATTTGAATTTTCAATATACTACCACTATTTGAATAATTAAATAAACAAATATAAGAATAGCTTTATTTAAATTTATATATAATTATAAATTCTAATTCAAAATAAACCTATAGTTTTAGATTTTATTCACTATAACTTTAAGCTTTATATATTAAAGCTTTAGGTTTTAAAGTTTATAAAGGCCTATAAAAAAAATGGATTATTTTAGTGGATTTAACAAGGTCAGCTTTTTCTAATTCTTGTTTTTAATCTGCGTTTTTATTTTCCTATACAAATTTATTGAAAAACGTGGATTATTTAATATCATTTTAAAATAATCTATCTCTTTCTTATTTCAAAATATACTAAATTTATTAAAATATGGATTATTTAATAGAATTTGCAATTTAATATTTAAATATAAATTCAAAATCCACTTTTAAAAAGCGTGGAATATTCAGCGAATTTAGTGTGGATTTGTATATCCAAATTAGCCCTAACTTCCTCTTAAAATGGAAACGATATCTTCCAAAATCATTGCAGAAGATCGCTCAAGCTACTGTTGAATTCCAGGAATATATGAAAGAGATGGTACGAGAAGAGCGATAACTGATCGCGAAAGGCAAAATATCTAAGCCCAATTTGATGACATCTCTGATCCGAGCCTCGCAGTTCAGTTCTGAACTTAAGACTGGCGATATGGATCCTAGGAGTAAGTAACCCGGTTTATCGGAATCCGAGATCTTCGGAAACATGTTTGTGTTTAATTTCGCAGGATATGATACGGTATCCCATCCGCTTTGCTATGCGCTGAATCTCCTTGCTGCTCATCCTACTGTGCAGGATTGGATTTTTGAAGAGGTGAACGCGGTGATTCTGTCTTCGGATTCTTCTACTTGGGATTATGCAGACTCTTTTCCTAAACTAAAACGTTGTATGGCTATTATGGTGTGTAAATACTCTATCGATTTTGTGTATACACACTAAGATTATTACATAGTTAGAGACGCTCCATTTTTACCACCCTCTAGTTACATTCACGAAATCAACAAGAGATCTTCCAAGAAATCTTCCAAGAACCCTCACATATGGTTCTAAAGAACTCCATCTACCACCAAACACAATGATTTTGCCAAATCTCCTCGGTATACAATCCCATCCCCGCTACTGGGGATTAGATCGACTCCTCTGGCGTCCATCTCGTTGGATCATCTCATCCTAAAACCACAATAGTGAATTGAGAGAAGAAATCTGGATACCGTCTAAAGGTTCATACATGCCATGGTCCGAAGGACCTCGAGGATGTCCGGGTAAGAAATTTGGTCAAGTTTAATTTGTGGCCGCGATCGCGGGATTATTTCATGGGCACAGAGTAGAGATTGGAAAAGAGGGTGGGGAAAACCAGAGAGAAGCTGAGAAGAGAGTTAAGACTTTGGTGGATGATAATGCGGTGATACTTTTGCTACAGATGATGAATCCCGAGAAGGCTGGTTTGAGATGGGTTAAGAAAAGATAATAGGTTGAATGATGAGAATATTTGTAGCAATGAAACAAAATCAGGGTAAATCACCGCCAAAACGCCATCTAAATCTAGAATATAAAACCTGGTATCACATAAATCTCCTTCTTTCACTTCCATTCCCCATCTCCAATAATCACCATCCAACCTCTGCACCCACCTAATCCCCATGAACCTTCCCATCCTTCGCTTGCCCCGCTTTGCCCTCCTCCTCATTTTCCTTCTTCCCAGGTTTCGAAAACACCGCTCCAAAAAGACTCAAAAAACTCGTCGATCTCAAAACCATCGTATACATCAACGTCATGCCCACCACCACAATCTCCTCTTTAAACGCCTCATTTCCTATGACCTCCTCACCCAAAAATTCAATCCGTCCCACATTCTTGAAACTCATCGTATTGGCCGAGAACTTTGCAACCGGCATAGACGACGCATCTAGACAGATGAAATCCCAATTCTTCCAACCCGAGGATGACGTCCATAACATCTGCACCGGCTCGTTACTCGAGGGCGAAAAGGTACGGGATAGATGCGAATATTCTGTCTTGAAACGTTTCATGGCTTTTACTTTTATGGGGTGGTCGCGCACCGAACAGTCGGAGTCGACGGAGAAGGAGTGGAGCGTTCCGGTGCCGAAGACGGATTTGTCGAGGGCGGATTTGAAGATGAGGTTGGGAGACAAGGTTTTGTAGGAAACGGTGTAGAGGGGTTGAGGTGGAGAGGAGGGGGAAGAGGGGTCTTGGGTTGTGATGAGCGATTTCCATTTTTTCCAGGAAAAATCGACCGAGAGGGCTTGGTGGGGGGAAGAACATGAGGTGGTGGAGGTAGTGGCGGTAGTGGTTTGAAGAGGTATCGATGGACCTGCAGCTGTTGTAGCCATGTTTGCGATGGTGTAGATTTTGATTCTTGCAAGTGGACTGTAAATATTGATGTTTTTGCTTCTTCTTATCTTTAAAATAACTAATTAGCCAGCCGCAAATCTTTCATTCTTATATACTCAAGCTATCCCTCACAGCAGCCGTGACGTCGAGCTCCACAAACAGCTGATAAAGCTCTTCCCATGCCATCCCACCCTATCAAAAATAAAGTTCCACGCCAACCACCAATTTCGGTATAATATCGCGCTTTGTCTCCCCATACATCTGACACTCTATTCTCTAATCATGTCAGATCCACATAAGCTTACTTCCACTCCTCCCCATGATTCAGCTAGTCGTGACATGAAAATGATCGACAAGTCGATTATGTCATCCCACTTCCCAAATAGGTGCTACGTGCCGCTCGCATCTTGGCGAATTTAGGCCCCCAACTGTAAGCCCCGCTAAGCCCCTTCGCTTCTTCATTCTCCCCAGTTGTTCTGACAATCATTGATTTTTATAGATTTATATATCGCGTTGCGTTTTCAATTATCCACATTATCCACATATACCATATTTCCTCTTAGGGTCTCATGTAGCGCTTTCATCTTTGACTTATTCTTGTGCAATCGCAATGCCTGGTGTACCATCTGGACGTGGATGTGAAGCGTGTCGCAAACAGAAGAAGAAGGTTTGGTTACTTAACATTTCGTGTGTTGGACCAATTATGAATATCTCTAATATTAAATAGTGTGATCAAGTCCAGCCCTCATGTTCACGATGTATTCGACTATCAATTCCATGCGTAGGTAGTGGAATTAGGCGCTACAAATTCATATCTGGCTCCATCGACTCCACCGTAACAACTAGCTCCACAAGCACAAATCACAACAGTGCACTCCACACTAGTCATAAACGAATACTCCGAATGCCCGGTAACAAAACTCTTTCCGTGGCAAGATCATTCATATCCGTTCTGGAAGTAAAAGATATTCGCTATGATATTGGTGTTTATGGAACATTTCTGACAGAGATCCCAAAGCGTCTGGGGAGTAGCGCCGCGCTAGATGCTTCGGTTAATGCTATTTCGACGACATATACATCGATATACTCACGAACGAAACCAGTAGAGGCGCTAGAGAGTTATGGGAAGGGTTTGAAGGCTCTGAGGGTTGCGTTGAATGATCCGAAAGAGGCTATTCAAGCGAATACTATTTGTGCGTTTTATTTGATGATGATTTGTCAGGTGAGTTGTTCTTGGTATGAATGAAGCGAATAATGATGCTTATTTAGGTTAGAATTGGATGGCTGACGGTGATGATAATGCCAATCATGGGGAAATATTAATATATTTGTTGAATGCAGCTGCAGCGCAAAATTGGCAAGGCACCTTTGAAGCAGACCTCTTGGTAACCTTGTGTGTTCCTCTGGTATGTGGAATTTTATTTCCAATAAAAACAGTGTGAATACCTCGACTGATGGCTTGTTACAGATCATGGAAGGCATCAGAAACCCCAGGGTTAAGTGGACCCCAGTAATAGGAAAACTAACCGAAGCTCGAGATAACGCCATCCGAATTGAAAGCCTCAAGCTCCAAACCCTGGCCAAAGTCCCAGAATACTTGAGATATCCAAAAGAATACCTTTCTGAAATTAAATCCACATACATTCAAATGAAAATTGACCTCTCAACCATGCGAAATACCCTAGACAAGCTCGGTCAAGCCCCATATACCAGAACACTACATTCACGCTTCCAAGCCGCGTATAGTCTGATACTTTCATTTGCCAATTTGTTAAACAGTTTACTTCGTGTCTTATCGGAAGATCATACATCTCTAATTCCGGAATCGGTATGTTATGTCGATGAAACCATCGTCCTTGCTGAAGAAGCACTTGAGTATCGACCATTAGGATCTAGTGCCATGCCATTGGTTCTTACAACTGCTTGGGTAGCGACGAGTGATATGTCTCGGAGAATTAGGATAGAGAAGCTGTTGATAGAACACCAATCCGATTTTACTATTATGAATTGGATGGAGGTCGCTTTGTGGCTCGAAGAAAGGTTGGGAGGTATTCACCTCTCATTGCAGGATTTTGATGCTGCGGCCCCGCCGGTGGTCAGTTGAAACTTGGAGTGTTTAAGATGCGGGGATGAACCGTAGAAACTGTTTGGCAGTGCAGCCTCCGATGAGGATGAGATCCTCAAATATGATTCTAGCCTGGACTTTGGGTAGTTTCTAGACTCGTTGTAGAAACTCAAACTAAAAAATACAGATACAATACCCACCATTCGTGAGTAGAGCAGCCAGCCGGACAGCAGTCAGCCTTATCATAAGCAATACGGAGCTAAGATAAGTTCATTATTCCATGAATTCTGGAACATTATATTCAGGACCGTATCGGTAGTTTCCCCCTTTGAATCAAGTGAGTTCTCAAACAGAACAATGACATCTCGGCCCTGTTCACTCGCTACCTCCTGAACCTTGTCTTTGACGATAGATTTAACTTCCCAGATATCTTTGTGCCCACCCCCGATAAGCCAAAAATACTCTTTGAAATCATTTCGATTCAATTTACGTGATTCTAAGTTCGTCATAAACTCATCAAGATGTGTGAAGAGTATTACACACTTCGGAATCGTCCAGTACCGAGGTTTACAGGCTGCTTCAAAGTATATCAAGTCCACAAATGGTTGGTAGGTATCGGCATCCTTCAGAAATTCAGAACTCATCATTGAAATCGTGTAGAGAATTGTTTCTGGTCCTATCGCTACTCTAAAGTCCTCCCATTTTTTATGGTGGTCTTCGAATCCGCCATAATCGTAGACTTTGACAATTTTAATTCTCCACATGATGTCCATGTTTGTAGCCCTGCTATATAGTAGGAGGTCTTCTTTCGTAGGGGTATAACTGGAGCTCCAAATACGGTGTCTAGAGCGAAAATAACTACGGATAGTTGGTAAACTCAACTTGAAGTGGTCACTGAACAGATTGACCTTTCAGCGGCTTTTATTCTTGGATTTTTGCTTGACCAAGCATCAAAAGTTTCTCGAAATCCTTGGTCGCTCCATGAACCCTTAGCCAAATGACGAATCGTCTCTAGTGTATGATTATATGGGCAGCCTTTATATGACCAAACATTATGTGAAACAAGGATTCCGTTCTTAAAGTCCCCAGTATCATATAACCCATATCTGTCGGCCCAATTCGAGAAGACATTGCGTTTCTTCATCTCCCAAACTGTGTGCAAAATGCAACGTAGAATGTACGATTGGATGGCCTTTCCGTAGACCCAAATTTCATCCCCAATCATGCTGAGATAAAGAAACTCAATAGAATCTGCAAGGGTGGCTTTTCCACTGTAACTGCAACCTGATAAGAGAATATAATGGAGTATCTGGAGAGATTGATATGATTTGGGCCAGAGATTATTGTTCCTGTGGATAATTGATGCATCTGAAGAGTTTTCGTATAGACTTCGAGCACAGCATTGATTTGTCTATTCAAGTAATTGTTGAGTTCTTTAATTTCACTTTCGTTCCAAAGTAATTTGACTTTTCCTTTCAGTTGCCGGTCAATACCATTCTGATCCAGCCGGGTAATGTGATCTTCCAGCATCAATAAAAAAACATGACAACTTTCAAGAGAGCCTTCTAGATTAATTATGAGTTGTTCGTTTTTGTCAGCTCCCTGAAGAGATGTTGCAATCCAGTTCGACATCTCATCTAACGCAGCTTTGATAGTCGTCAATTGTACAATCAGATGACTGGCCATAAGGCTGGCGCTTTTATATTTCGACTTGAGTGTGACGAGATTTGTGATGAGACTCGTAATGAATTTCCCGGTAGTAAAGACCGAGCCGGTGAGAGTGATTATTGATACTGGATCCATTTTGTGACGAATGCTATTTTTTAGAGAAGAGCAAAAGAAAAGAAATCGAGAATCAAATTCAAGAGCCCAACTGCTCGTTAAAAACGCACCAAAAAGCTGATGTCTGCGCCTACCCTCGTGCCACCGGTATCAACGTTGATGTATTACCTATTTGTGACACCTAATAGTAATCTGTCAAGGTAATAGGCTTCGATCGATGCAGTCGGGTTACCATTTCGGAAAATGCTTATCACGAATTAGAGTAAGGCTATGAGCAAGACCGTCTTGCCGATCCTTGAGGAATATAGTCAAAGCGGAGTAAAGAACTTACGTCAGTTATTGAGTTGGTTACCTTGAGTCGTCACACAATATCTGATCAAAAGAAAAGTTCCTTCAGTCAAGTAGACATGCAGCCCCAATGCGTAATCTATCATCTTATCCAAATTTGATAATAAAGTGCAGCGTCTTTTAATTTGCTATTTCTCCATATTAGTAGTCCCTACAAGTCTAATGAAGATGCACAAGAGCAAAAGAATCTCTCCACAGATCTTCACTTTAATTGCTCCTTCAGTGACCTTCAGTGCCCTTTGCCTCCCAAAGATCGCTGGGTTCTTGTCAACAATGGCGCACAATATTCAGGATTATCATAATATGATAGCACCAGACGACGGCGAGAAGCTCTCGCTACAGAATTGACGGCTAGAATACAACTCGGAGCATATAAAAGCATCCTTGCATTTGTGTCGCCCATCCGAGATCAGACTCATCCACTACTACTCAAGCTGGATCTAAACCACTCCTTCTCTCCACTCCTTCTCTCCACCCCTTCTCTCCCCTTCCTCTCTCTCCCAAACGAAAACAGCCCAACTTTACTCCCATCCCGGCTCGAGAATACTACCAGTATTTAAATATAAATAGCATTCCCAAACCACCACCACGCACAAGAAGACAAGCCCTCAGTCCACATACTGTCCCATCCAAACCTCCCAAACCTCCCTTCCATCACCATCTCAAAGTTTCTCGCGAATTCAAACCCCGAAAGGAAGATAGAAATCGTTTCCAACAAAAAAGTCCCAACTTGATTAAGCAGCAAAGCCGGGTTAACAACCCCAATCAAAGCTACCTAGGTGCCATCCATCTAACTCGACAAGTCCACTGCATTCTGTAGAGGAAACCCAGAAACCAAACCGTCTAGTTTGTAGACTGTAACCACACTTGCGGTTGTCGATCATATAATAAACATCGTATTGATGAGGAATATAGCAGTCAGTCTCGTAGGCCGCACGCCATTATCACCGGCTATTGGAGGTATCTATCCATATATAACAGAAGCAACGAGAAAGTCAAAAACTGCCTTAATAGATTGAGTCTTTAGATTTGACAACTATTATCATCTGTATGTATAAATATATAATATCTTGTGAACGCCATCATGAAAGACCCGTGGTATCCCAATATCCACTGAACGCCTTTAATTAACCTGTATCGAATCTCTTACTCCCTTTATATGAAGAGTAGCAATTATACCTCCTCCAAATTTTTTGGTGCTTATAAGAATGGCACATATATACTATATTAGATAAATACGAACTTGTCCCACGTAACGAGCCTACAATGTCCATCCAAAGGCTATACAATTTCTCTTTTCCCCAAAATGAATTGCATCATAAGAGTGTGGTCAAGGTGTTTGGGTCTCAATAGAACGCTGGAGTCAAGATATTCAAGATGGTATGTTGATCTCGTAACCAATCATAACCTCCGTATTAGTACCCTCCCAACCTCTGTTTCCCGCAGCTGATATCATATATTTGCACGTCGGATCGATATGAAGTGCAGCTATGACACCAGCCCTTGGTGGCCCAGGAACGATGAGGAAAGGTACGGATGAATGTGATTTAGTCTGTGGTTGCTTGAGGTCATATAATCGTAAGATATCATGTGATGCACTATTGATCATTAGTTTGGAGGATAAAGCAGGAGAGAGAATGTTTAATATACCAAATAAGATGTCTTCCATTAGGCATGGCCTTTATAGCACTGACTGCACCACTTCCATTTGGAAATTTAAACGTCCTTTCGGGTTGTTTGAGACCTTTATGTAGACTGAACTCTTCCACTGTTCCATTCCTTCGGCCAGCATAAATGTAGTTTCCATCAGGTGACCAGCAAGCAGACATACACCATGGGGGTACTCCTGTTCTGGTCAAGATTCGAGCAATTGGGTTCGGTTGACGTCTATCCCAGACACGAATGGTTCCATTGATAGATGCAGCAAGAAATGTGGAGTCAGATGTTGCATCAGCATCTTGAGTTTCAGGCTCTGCTTTTACTTCAATAATATCTTCAGAATGGGGTAAACCATTAGATAGATCAGCCTGTGGTTGTTCGGATTGGATTTGAAGGGAAGAAGCAGGCTCTTCCTCAATTGCTAGAGGTGGTGCATCCATCATAGACATATCACCGGAAGAATCTGGTCGTGCTTCTTCTATGTTCATATCCAAGGCTTTCGAGAACAAATCTTCGTCATCACCAAAATTTCCTCCGGATGGAGCTCCCAATCCATCTGTATCTCCAAATAATGAATCTCCACCCCCGAAAAGAGAATCTGCAGGTGACCCAGGAGCATCCTCATTACCGTCTGCATCCCCGTTCAACCCATTGGTCCCATTCATTCCACCAGAAGCTCCATTCAACAGTAGCTTTTCCCCAATGTTACTAGAGAAGGTTCCGTTCTGAGGGCTTGGTTCGCCAGACTCTTCGGGAACAGGTAGTGTAGACGCCGGTCTTACTTCTATTGCAGAGATTTGACCACCACTCCCATCAAATGTGCGCTTGACCAATCCAGTATTCAAATCCCAGTCCAGAACCTTTTTGTCCCAACTTCCTGATAAGACGGATCTCTCATCACGAGCAAGAATAAGAACCGAGACAGCAGATGTATGTTTTTGGAGAGTGGCTATTTTCTTCCCTTCATCGTGTCGCACCGATTGTAAGTTTATACTTCCTGATTCAAGTCCGGATAACATCCAAAGAGCCTCAGATTGTACTGCCAACGAATAGACGGGAGACAGTGGATTATCCTCCCCGCCAGGGCCTCTACTTGATTCCTCGTTATCCCAATAGCTCATAAGAACGCCAGCTTTAACGACACTATCAACGAATGGATGCCGTTGAGCAACAGTCAATAGTGTTTTACCGTTGACTGTATCGACTCCATTATATTTCCTTATGAAACAATCCGAACCTCCACTGAACCAATATCTCATATCAGGTGTTGCCGTGATTGCATTGATCGATGTACTCTGAGGAGCAGCTATTGTTGGTACAATATCATAGGTAGAAGCAGTTAGCGCTTCGGCCCTAACTTCATATCTAAATCTTGGGGATAACGATAAAGTAGAATTGTGTTGCGGCGAGGCTGAAGTCCTTACTAAAGTCGGATGAGGATGTGACGTGGGACCCTCGCCATTCATTTGAGTGTCGTTCGAGTTCAATCTCTCGTTTGAATTGTCTAGGTCTCCTCTGTTCTGCGAAGGGGAGAAGTCGTCTTCACCTTCTCCATCACCATCGCCGTCACCATCATCTTGGTCATCCTCTCCATTATCGTCATCATTGTCGTCGTCGTCTACTTCTTCATCTCCGTCCCCATCAGCATCCCCATCCCCGTCTCCGTCCTCGTCTCCGTCTCCATCTCCATCTCCATCTCCGTCCCCATCTCCATCTAGTTCGGGGTCTAGGTTATCTGCATCTTCCATCATATCATCTTGTTCATTGTCGGAGCTCGCATTCGATCCTGACAAAGCCAAAGTTAGTACTCAATTATGATTGAGAGATTCTACATTTACCGACCGTCATCAATGTCTAATGCGAAATCCACCATCTTGAATACCTACAGACCCCTCCTCCACAACACTATCCTCGGGGTTGGGTCAGCAATGAATTCGCGTTAGCGCAAGCTATTCAGCTTGAATTCGATTGCAGGGCAACGCGGGGCGCACAAGGATATTCTAAGTAAATGCTCGGGAATGAGTTCGGGAAATCCTGCGAATATGGACAAATAAAGTACGTCACAGATTCTCCAGACGTTGGAAACAATTCAAGCTCATTTAAACTACAACTGTTGAAGGGCTTTTTGTACAATTGAAGAATCGCGAATAAGTTATATTGTGAGGATACAAATATAATTGGCTTTTGAATCATGAATGCGAAAGCAGGGTCTTGATAGCTTGATAGCTAGTCATGCTAGCGGCCGCATCAGCAAGGTTATGCATCACGTGGCAGGCTGAAAACCTCACTACATCAATATTGGAAATATATTAAATCTTCTTTCATAACATCAAGGCAGTCCAGTGCACAGTGTGGTAGATTGGATTGGACTTGAAGCAACTATTGAATCCATTGACTCGAAATATCTCATCTTGGAGAACGTGACTGCCCAGTAAATTTGAGTGCACTTTATACATTCTCATGATCATGGTTCGAATCAATGCTTGCTTTGGAACATCTCAGAAAGCAATGGGATATCTGGAATCTCATCCAGAAAACAGATATACATCAAGATTTTGACGAGGAGTAGGTGAGTTGAGGTGAGGTGTCATAAGGCTTTCAGTCACACCACTAGGTACCTAGATAGGTTTACTTTGCAGGTCTGGGCAATATCTTTTACTTACCCGTCTTCAAAACATGTGTTTGAATAGTTTGTGAAGAGAGTAGATGCTAAAGATATATTCAATCATCTATCTACTTTGAGTATGGAGACTGTCAAAGATTCGTTACATACATAAGCCCGACTATAAACTGATTTGGATAAGACTTGCTTTTGTACATGGCAAACCACCCGTCTAGTATTTACTAGGTAATGGTCTACTAGGCACCTGAATCTCTGTTTGCTTTGAGACGCAACCTTCAATAAAGGTCCTAATATATGCAATATGCAAACTGCAAGCTACCGAGCCGATCCAACGCTTGCAAACGAGTGGAAATGTACACGCTCCAAAAACTTCTCAGGAGTCCGTACAAGATATTGACCTCTTTCCTTTTTACATTTTCATCTCTTCGTTCAATACGTAGGCAATACTTGGAGGGTTAATCCAATATCTAGTAGGTATCAAAGGAAATTCCGAAGCACTTATCATTCTCGCCTTTTTAAGGCTGCCCACCTCATTCCGATTCTCGCTTGCAATCTTGAAATGTTTTGGGAAGGCTCGACAAAGTGAATTCTACCAAATCTTTTTCTACTAGGCATTTGAAAAATTCCGATCTCGCTCTCTAGGCAACCTTCAAATCACTCGCATAACAAAATCTTGTATCGAGATCGACTGGGAAGAATTGATATCAACTCTTTGTAGGACCAATTGTGCGTGTCATGAATGAACGTTTGCGACCAATATTAAATCTTCAACGCGCCAATCACACAGTTTTCGACGACAACAATAGTCTTCGAAAGCTTGAACACGGGTTTAGACAATCAGATTCTCCCTCAACTACCGGAAATCAGTTGAAACAAGGTAAGAGGAGTCAGCTCTATGGGATTGTTTGACATACAGTGGCACACAGGATGCTGACTATTATAAGATTTCTCAACGTCTTGCCACACTTGAGAATATCCTCCAAGACCGTAAACCTTGTATTTGCTCAGTCAATCAAAACATTGTTTCTATCCGTTTGCGTTTGAAGTTGAAGTCTAATAAATTGTCACCTTCATAGTCTTACGCAGCCCGCTCAGATACATTTAAACTCTGAAGAGTCTTGGAGGTCACAAGTTCATCTTTCAAACGACAATCGCTGTGGAATTCGACCTTTCGCAAACCTCATCCAGTTTTCTATCTAGTAATTAAAGATAATGCGAGTCTAAGATCTACATCGCAGCCATTGAATGACACAGGGAATGACCTGGAACTCACACGCCAAGGTCAGTAACATCACATGCTTGACGAAGCCAAAGGTTTAAAACTTGGACTGACTTGTGACTGTAGAGAAGAAATTGCGACCATGGTATACAGCAGAACTTCTGCGAATCTTGTACTGCGAGAGCATGTGCAGAAATCTTATGCAAGAATCAACTATGCCGAATCTTGGAGAAATCTTCCCGAGATTCCCACTAGCAATGAAATTCTTGAAGATGTATCATGGCAAGACAAAGATGGTCCAGAGCAGCCAATGGATTACCAAAGATTGGCGGAGCCGAATGAATTCGACCCACGTCTGCCACACAACAATATCAATGGGGCTTGGGGCTCTAAGGAAGAGTACCTAGGTTTTCATTACCAGATTTTACGAGAAGATGCAGTCGCTCCTCTTCGTCAGTCTGTTGCTGAATTCAAGAGAAACAGCGATATGAGTGATACACAAGACACTTCTATCTACACAGATGTAGGTGATCATGCGAAATAGTAGTGAGCGAAGACGTTGTAACTAATCTCGTAATAGGTCCACCTCGTGGGTCTCCAATTGAGCCATTTCGGTCCAGCATTCAGGATCGAATTTTCAAGTGACAAAGCTGGCAAAAGAATTCGGTGGGAGCAGTCAAGCCGACTTACACAAGGTAGTCTCGTGTGCCTAAGTCCAACTAGCGATAAGTTTCGTTCCATTTGTAAGGTTGGAACTGTCGCAGCTAGGCCCATAGAAGGTGGTTTAGACTGTGACCCTCCACGAGTTGACATCTTCTTTGGGGACGACAAAGACATCATATTGAATCCAACAGAGTGTTAGTCGCATAATGCTCTCAAAAATCAGTAGATGCTAATTTCTATTATAGCATATATTATGATTCAGTCCCGAGTGGGATTTTTTGAGGCGTACCGTCATGTGCTTGTAGCACTCCAGAAATTGGTCACTGAAGATTCGTACGTGAATGAACATTGAGGAAGCAAAATGGAACAGGATGCTAATGAGAATAGAACCTATATTCAAAAGTATCTGATTGAAATGGATAGAGATATCTTGCCACCTGATCATATTAAGGAAAGACCTTGCCTCGACCTTCGTTCGATTGCTCTGTCGAGCGGCGATCATCTTTCAGACCTTACTGACGAAGAAGACGAAAATCTGTGCCATGTCAACGTTTTGAAAGAGTTTCCAATTCTTCCAAAATCAGGCATGGATGACTCCCAGCTCGCGGCTTGTAAGCGTATGCTCACTCAAAGCTTAGCAATTGTACAGGTGAGATACTAATTTTCACCATTTTCAATTTTGCTGGCGCAGTGAGCTCGGAACTGATTCAACCCTCGTCGATAGGGTCCGCCTGGTACTGGTAAGACATTTACTTCCGTCCAAGCTCTCAAAGCCATGTTGTGCAACAGGGGCAATGGACCGATCATTGTCGCTGCTCAGACAAATCATGCCCTCGATCAATTACTCACCCACATTGCTGGTTTTGAGGAAAACTTTGCGCGTCTAGGGAGCAGATGTGACAAGAAAAATTCGACAATCCTAGCACGAACACTGTATGAGCTCCGCGAAGAACACAGAAAATCGAAAACTAAGCAGTTTAATGGCGGCGTCAGATCAGCTTCCAAAGCACACGATAACTTGATTGAATCTATTGAATCAATGCTTTCTCCCATCATTGCTTTTGGTTTTTTACCCGCTGGAGTTCTTTTAAAGTCAGGCGTTATGAGTCAAGAGCATTACGACTCTTTCTTCGAGCCTGGTTGGTGCGACTCGGCGAATACGCAAGATGAAAATGTCGACCCTCTGGAATCTTGTACGTATATAAGAATTCAGGCATGTTTAATTGACTCTGCTTACTAGTATATAGGGCTTGGAGCACAGAAAGTCCGCATGCCAAGAACTCCAGTGATTAACAAGCATCTAGAGATAGAAGATCCTGACCAGGAATTTGATCAATTACAAGAGAACGAAGTTGAAATCCAAGCGAACGATGTCATGGATGCTCTAAACGGGAGGTGGGTTCGATTCAGTCGTTCATTCACAGGTAAAACTCTTGGTGCCCGGGCCATTGGTAAGAATTCTCCTAAGAACATGCTCGCTAGATTTGGGAGTCTTCTCGACATTCCAGACAAGTATCGCGGTCATGTTTATTGCTACTGGGAAAAGCTCTACTATGATCAACTGACCCATAAGCTCAGTGAGAAATTCGATAGTTACAGAGCTTCGATGAACGACTTGAAGATTGCGAAGGTATGTCAACTACTTTAGAATTGATAAAGTTTACTAACAAAAATAGTGGAGACGTGATGCCGAGTTTATCGATCATATAGACACAAGAGTCATTGGTTGCACAACAACTGGTCTATCTAAATATAGAGGACTACTTTCTGCTTTAAATCCATGTGTACTACTCATCGAAGAAGCGGCAGAAACTCTAGAAGCGAATGTCACAGCGGGTATCATTCCATCTCTTGAGCAAGTGATACTTGTGGGAGATCATCGACAATTGACGGCAAATACTACACTTGACCGCTTCATGTCACACCCATATTACATGTCAATCTCCTTGTTTGAGAGACTTGTTAATAATGGTATGGCTTACACAATGTTGAACAAACAACGTCGTATGATTCCAGAGATTCGAGAGCTTTTATGTATTGAACCAGATCCGTTCTATGTCGATCTTCATGATCACCAGAATGTACGAGACCGAGTCAATCATCGCCCTCCAGTTCCTGGCATGAACATTGATTCATACTTCTTCTCACACAACTGGCAAGAACATAGAGATGTCAACATGAGTTGTTATAATGCTCTGGAAGCTGAAATGGTTGCTGGATTCTTCAACTACTTAGTGATCAATGGTGTTAAGCCAGAAAAAATTACTGTATTAACAGTATGGATTGATCTTGACTTTCTTACAGTTCGTGGCTAATAGATTGATAGTACTATAACGGCCAACGAAAATTACTTCTAAAAGAGCTTGGTCAACGTGTTACGAGCGTTGCAGCACCATACTTCAAGGTCTATACCGTTGATGCGTACCAAGGCGAAGAAAATGAAGTTATTTTGCTATCATTAGTAAGAGGCAATCCTCACAGTTCGGTAGGATTTTTGAAAAGTAAGAATCGTGTGGTTGTTGCCTTGTCTCGTGCACAACGTGGTCTCTACATCTTTGGGAATGCAATTACTGTTGCGGGGCAAGAAGCTGAAAATGGCTCTCGAGATAAGCTTTGGATGCCGATTCTTTTGCATCTATTGGATGAGAAGAGATTTGGCTCTAAGCTGCCTATCTTATGCTCGAACCACGAGAATTACTCTTATGTCTCAGAGCCTGAACATTGGGAAGATCTAAGTGGTGGTTGTCATGAGTATTGTGGTGGCATGTTGCCGTGTGGCCATTTATGTCCTTATAAGTGCCATCCAACTCCTCATGATCAAGTTATCTGTAAAGAACCTTGTGAGAAGCTGCTCGACTGTGGTCATGGTTGCAGTAATAATTGTGGTCAACCCTGTCGATGCGAAGAATGTCGTACATTGGATCGCATGCAGGCTCTTCAGCTAGTATCTTCACCCAAGAGAGTTATTGCCGAAAATGAGTTTGGAACCGATGCATTGAACACTACTCCCTCCAAGCAGAAAGAACGCTCTCCACAAAAGTCATGGAAATTGGATCAGCAAATTGGACAGAACAATTCATGCACACAGCTCTCATCTGTTCAGTCGGGGGGTCAAAATTCGCTTTACACATTTGCATCCTCTCCTACCAAGAGAGAGTTGTCACCAGAAAAGGGCCGTCAACTTTGGGATACTTGGGACCCAGTTTGTTCGGATAGAAACATTGATCAAGAGCGTCTTGAACGAGAGAAGCTTGCCATTGAGAACAAGCCAGATTCTGGAGATTTGATCTATGAAGAAACTCATAAACTAGTTCGATTTGAGAATGGAAAGAGAATTGTTGGTCCCAAAATCCAGAACGTTATTCCTCGAGTGGTAAGCAGCAATGAAATCACTCGCAGCGAAAACCAAAGTCCAAGAAGCAGTTATGAGGAGTTTCGAAGCTTTGATGAGATTTTTCCAAGCAACCACAAAATCAATGGAGACAGCGGCGGCATTGCTTACAGCAATAATGGCACTCTTCAGAATAACAGCTATAGTTTGGCCGCTTCCATCAACAACGAAATTACTAGCCGTACTAACGGGGTTCACACAAACGGAGTTACTCACAGTAGCAACGATCTTCTTCTTAATGCTGCTTTCAGCATTGAGGTCGATCTTAGCAACGGCGAAATTACTTCCAATAACAACGAGGTCGCTAATGCTCCAGGTCCTGAGGATGACATGCTCAAATTCAGCAACGATGATTTTGATTTTCTAGAAGGTCTTTAAATTTGCGATGTAGTAGTATCGAAAGATGGATCATTGCATATTGTTGTTTCTATTTCAGTTGGTCTGCGGAGTGTTCCTCACATTTCTAGCATGTTCCTGCTTCTCGAAAGTCGGCATTCAAGTTTTGAGAATCCTCATGATGGCTCTGGGGTACATCTGGAAATAGTATGGAGTTGCTTGAGATTTGTTTTTATGGATGTTTATTTTGACTTTTATTTGTACACTAGAATTAGAATACTAGGTAGCTAGAGAGAAGAAATGAATCGATTTTAGAGAATCATTGGGTTTATTGAGTGGAATGTGATGTGTTTTTGTGAAATCTATATGGGATTGTGGTGTTGTGTCAAAAATGCTGTGGTATTGTATCTATGAACGTGGCTATGAGACTTTCACTGCGATCATATGATAACCTGTTGCTTCGCATTTTATTTCACATAATTTCCAACACATCACAATCAATTCTCATACTGACAGACTCAAATCCATGAATTATCATCTCATTTCTTTTCTTTCTTTTCATGTAATTTCACAAAGCATCTCATCATACATAATGCATCATACAAAATCCACATTCCCCCCAAAAACCAAGTCAAGAAATAAACCTCCAAACCCTGATCCCTAATTCCGAATCCCAATAACCATAAATGATATAATATCATAACCTCTCGCATCACCTTCCTAGCAATCCACAACCTTAATGCTTCCACACCTAATGCTTATGCAACTTCTCCTTAATCTTCTCCTTCAAATGCGTCAATTTTCCCTCTTTCTTTCCCTCCCCATGTTCATGTTCATGATCACGTTCCTCTTCACTCCCCATCTCTGTATTTCCTCCTACAGTACTCTTCCCATCCTTTCCCAATAATCGATCTGCCCCCTTCCCGGCCCCAGGCCTCGTCGCGTCGAAATCGCCGCCTTCGGCTACGAGTCCTGAACTCTTGATGTGTTTTTCTCCCGTACCGGAACTTGTTGCTGTACCTGTGCTTTCGCTTGTGGAGGTCTCTGGTTTTTCGGACGAGGATTTCGAGCCGAGCGGTTGCAGATCGGTAGGCACGCCTTGGGCGTTGGCGGTGCTGCTGGGTTTACCAGTTGGATTGGGAGTTTCGACTGCGAGTCTGGAGAGGGGTGCGGGGTCGACTGTGTTCGAGGTTGTGCTTGTGGCGGTGGTGGAGGAGGGGATGTTTGTGCTTGGGATGGAGCTGGAGAGGGATTTTTCGGCGGCTGCAGAGGGTTCCGGGAGATTGGGATTGATGTGTTCGGAGATTAACGGTTTTTCAGAAGTTACTTTGATGGGGGTGGAGGTGGAAGGGGTAGAGGTAGAATCGGATAGGGGCGCGATGTGTGTTTCGGCGAGAGTGTGGGATACGGAGTCTGGGGTTGGAGAGACGGAGGTGGAGGTAGAGGAGGATTCGAGAGGTTTGGCGGCGAGGCCGGGGGGAGAGAGAGTCGTGCTGTCGGTGGGTGTGAAGGTGGAAGTGGCACCGTCGGTGGTGGAGGAGAGGGTTTTTTGTGTGCTTGTGGAATCTAGGGACGTGTTAGTAGATTGATTAATTTGTTTATTTTTATCGTTCATTTCGTCGTCTCGCAATTCACCTCCTAATACATTTATTTCATCCCCATCCCACCCAACCCTCAAGAATCAAAACCAAAACGAAAAACAAACAAGCAATCAAAACAGAAGAAAACATACCCGCATTCCCCAAATCATACGGCTCTCCCTTCTTCGTATCGCCCAACTCCCCACTAATCGGTTCCGTTCCCTTCGTCTCTGGCACAATCGTTGCATTTGCTGCATCTGTCGTTTCTTGAGGTTCTCCCCAGATAACCTTTGAAGCAGCAGCCGCGATGCTATTTACTGTTTCCATATTTGCGTTTGTGGTATAATGACGTGTGTGGTTTTGTTATTATTTGTCGTATGTATGTATGTATCTGTAGGAAGGTAGATATATTTGTATACAAAGAAACAAACAAGCAAAGCGAAGTAAAAGGAATCTCTTCAATATCAAGACAGGTGGGTAGCGTTCACTAATATAATAAAATCGAATATAAATCAAGGAACAAGAAAAAGACCCTTCCATCCTTTATCCAATTGACCCCTCCCTCGCGCCTCTCCAAACCCATCCAATCCGCATCAGGCAAACTCACCCTTAGGAAAAAAACCTGAACTCACACCCCTCCACTAAATCCTAATAAACCACATGTCCAACCCCCCTTTCAATAATTCCATTGTACGACTCCTTCCCACAGCCCAACAACTGACGCAGTGTCCAAAATCCCAACTCCTCTCAGTACGCCATTGGACAAATCACAAATATATGCTTGTTCAACAAAGAAATGCGCCTTGTTCTTCCTTTCGTACCACTTACCTGCTTTCCCAGAAACTCCCCATCCCACTATTCGAATGAATGAATGACCAATAGACAAAAATTGTAAAACGCATCAATTCATCTAATCGCAATAAATAAACCAATCAAATCAATAGATCAAAGATTATCCTGGATTTTTCGCAAAATGAAAATCTCGTGCGTCCAGCCCATTCATACCTCTAGACCTTGATATCGGAAAAGTTATTGATGACGTTCATAAATCCACTTATGTAAGGTTACCCCAGATTTTTATCGACGTCATATCACGTGCTGTGATGCAGTTTCAGAGGCCAGTATGCCAGTTGGTTGGGTGTAATTGTGGCTTACTGTTTGGGTACCTCATTTCCAACAATAGTGCGCTTACTTTAGTTTAGATGGAGTATTAGATTCTAGATGCTTGGAGATTCCCTGGGTAGCTTCGATCTAGATGTTCAGGATCTCTGGGCTTGACAGTTTAGGAAGACTCTCGAGCTTAAGATTGTACGGAGTAGTAGCTCTGATTTTGTCACTATCTCTTTTCCAAATCTAGGTTTAGATTTTATTTGTGTGATAAAAAGTATGCATTAACTCATAAAATCATTTCGTAACCCCATAATAAACCATCGTTGACTCTACCCCATCTCCCATGTACACCACCTTCTGCCTTCACCATGAATATGACCCTACCCCCATGATACAATGCAAAATGAAACATTAATATGTGATTTCACAGCCCCAAAGCCCATCAAGTAGCCTTGGTAGTCTCAGCAGGAGTATTCGTCTCTGCTGCAGCCTCTGTGCCATCGCCTTCAGGTTTAACACCCCCCAACGGTTTCGCAGGATCATAGCCCACACTCTTCACAATCCCCAGACCTTTCGTTCTCCCCTCCCTAAACAGCAGCCTATCACCCGGAGCCAAATATTCTGGTCTTTGTACAAATCGAAATGCGACTGTTGCTCTATCACCAGTTCGAATATAACTTCGATCAATATCAATAATAGCGCACGTTTGACTGACAGGTCCAACATGTAACATTGCCTGATATTTCGTTTTGATAGTAGTGGCATGAGAAAGAATCAAAACTTCAGCAACAAATTCTCGGTAAACTTTAGGGGCATTCTGTTCGAGTTTTGGAAGTACCACCATTCCTTTTCTAACATCTTTTCTTCGAACACGCTTTAATGCGAACGAAGCTGATTGACCAGCAGATGTAGCCGGAACTGGTATTCGTTTACGTTCGATGGAACGAATGGTTGTAGTTGTGAATTGACCAAGAGAGTCAGGCCCAACGAGTACAGTGTCACCTGCGTGGACCACGCCGGACTTTACAATTCCTGATACTACGGTTCCTACGAATGGAACGGAGAAAGTATCATTAATATGGAATTCGAAAGGTGCCTCGGCATCATAATGGCCATGATGAGGTAGGATATTGAGGAAAGCTCGAACGAGATCTAAAGATTCTCCAGTAACATTGGATACTTGGAAAATTGGACAAATTCGTTTGCTGACAAATTGAGTGGCAGTATTGATACACTCTTCTCGATTCTTGATGAAGATTGGTATTTTTCTGGCTCCAGGACTTTTTAATATGCTGGTGATCTGCTTGATGGTTTGTTCCAGAATTTGAGGAGGACAAATATCGATTTTAGTAATGACAACCATAACCGGTACATTTAACGCAAGAGCGATCCCAAGATGTTCTTTACTCATACCAATGAGTCCATTATTTGCAGCGACCATTAGTAAACAGTAATTTGGAGACGAAGATAACAGCCCAAACACGGTAGTCCGTAGATACCGTTCATGGCCAGCCAGATCGGTAAAGGAGATAACTTTGGCGGATCGTTTTCCAATTTCTTCCCATGATAGTTTCCTTCCTGGAACATCAGATGCGACAACTTTGCCCATAGTATCAAAACCCATGATTTCCATACCAACAGAACTAGTCCTTCCACTCTCTATTTCGTGCTTGTGGCGGAAGAGATTGACTCTTGCTTTTCCTCTTCCATCGTCCAACCCACCTTTCACCAATACACCCAGCATAGTACTTTTCCCCGCGTCGACATTTCCCACCACAGCAATTCTGGTCTCAATGACCTCCTCCACACTCGCAGGATGTTGCCGTACTAAAACTTTCCCTGTACAATCTTTCTCTTTTGATTCTCCAGTTTCACCCTCTACCTCGCCACCTACTCCATTCGTTAACAGTAACTGACAATCACTGTTCAATTTTCCTGCCGCTTCCTTTAATCTCTTCAAGGCGATATCCCATTCCTCTTTGTTGAATCCCATTGCATCACCATTGTTCTCGAATCCAATTTCAAAAATAGTCTCTCCATGCCCCTCCTCTAATCGCAACTCCAGAACATTTTTTAGGAGTATTAATTGATCTTCGTCGGTTGACAGCAGTAGTTCTTTTATCCGTACTTGAGAACTAGTATCTGCTATATCGAGAGAATTTAAGATATCCGTAAGTTCGGCATGATCTTCTACGGTAGTGACTGATGTTGCGGTGGTTGAGGGACCACCGGTTGTTGAACTGGAAGTGGAATACGAGGGATATCGAAGTGCTTGTTGCTTTTCAACGTATTCCGCGAACTCGCTCAGGGCCTATTGTCTGTTAGCAATATGATATAAAGTCTGCCAAAGGATATTAATACAGTTTCGCCTTTCCGCCGCTCATGCGGAAGCTGTTTGCCTTTTGAAGTCATGTTTCCGTATGTTTACCTTCCAAGAAAGAGTTGTGGCAATAACCCAATTTACTTGCAGTATATTCGTAGGATCATAAAAGACTGCTTTGAAGTAGGTATCTAGGTAGGTAATATAAGATAATCCGCAATAATAGTGAATTGAATGCAAAAGAGTTCTCAATGGAAACCGGTAGTTCTTAAGTGCCTAATACAGTTGGAGATGACTGTCCTGGTGGTCTACACCGAATTGTTGATGCGCCTTCATGTCATTGTCGAGAATTTATAAGTTACTAGTATTACCAGCTGGGGCATACCAAAATATTATATTCTGACTAATCCGTAGAATGTTGTGATCTGTACAACCTACTAATGTTGCAATATTATTAATATCTGATCCAAAATAATCCGACAGTTCGTCTCTCGTAAGGCTGACTGGTTGCTAACTATCAATTCTGACTTCTCTGATCAAACAATTGAATATCTCTTCAATGTTGTCTTACAGATGCAACCGGAATAGCGATATCCAACTCCGAACTACCATAGGAATAAGAACGCAAGTCTGGAATTCAAACATTACCCATTCTCCATTCCCGTCACATCATACGGACCACTCGAACCTTCTCTTCCCTACGCTTTTAAAAGAGCTACCTGATACTCATCCCAAATCGCAGGATCTCCATCAGCCAACCTTTCCTCCAAAGGTATTCCTATCCTTTTCCCTCCCCAGCACGCACGAAGCAATACCATTGAGGGAAAGGCGCGACTCCTTCATCTCCACCGCAAACCCTCGTATCCACCCCCCCAAAGCACGCACTAAACGAAATTTTCGCGACCTTAATTCAACATCGCAAATACTTAACGTACACGATCACCTCTGACACATATCTCTCTTACAACTGCTTATAGCGATCAAACTCCCAGCCAACGTGTTGAAATTTTCACGTCCTGCAATTTCTGCAATTGCTTGGGCGCATTTCATCATGGGTACACGAATGTCATTTGCAAATTCTAGACTTGGAGTATACGAACCTGGGATGTTTAGTATGTATGATGTATCCACAATGCGATTCGACTGATGTCGTGATGAAAGGATTGGTTCTCGAAGTTTGGTTGTGCCATTTTGGTTATTTGAAGTGTCATCTCACACACTGGTAGCGGTGGTATCTGATATCTTTCCCATGTGAAAAGTTCATCACTCCCTAGAATAGAGGAGACTATTTTAGTTCCCCTTCTATCCCACTCCACCACATCCCCATAAATCGTCGGTTGCCTAGGAAGTACTCTAGCACTCTACATCGTACAGAACCATAAACCCCCAACCCAGCAAAAATTTCACATGTAAGATTTCCGCCCTGTGCTCTATGATTAAGTTCAAGTTTAGAGATCGAACCGATATCGGACGCGCGGGGAAGAGTCATCCATCTACCTCTCTCCATTCACATTCACCCACACGTCCACCCATTCCACACCGCATCACATCACATCACATCACATCCAAAACCACACGGCAAAACGGCTCACGGCAAGCCAGAAGCAGAAGCAGAAGCAGAAGCAGAAGCAGAAGCAGAACAAAATCTAGCTTTCCAGGTTCGCTCTAGGCCTCCCCCACACAGACTCATCCGTACCTTGATGGTGTGGTGTGGTGCGGTACTGGTACTCCGTGAGTCTCCATCTACGAAGCGAACTCCGTGTCGGTGTTCAAGTGTCGGTGTTGAGACCGAGTAGGTATCTACCGGTAGACAATCGAAACCCTACTACGTACGCTACTACCCTACTATATGTCATCTCCGGTATTTTAACTTTTCTTTCGATAACTAGCGCTCAGGGTATCTAGGTACCTACCTAGTTATACGATACCGGTCAAATAGCGTGTTTAGGGTTTTGAATTTTAGTGTTGTATGAGTCTTACAGGGTCAGAGAGTTAGAATGGTAGAATGGTAGAGTCACATATCAAGAGCAGTACACATAAACAGAGACAGATACTTTTGTAACACCCGTCTACACTCATCGTGGGAACATATTGACTTTTGGTTTGTTAAATAGGTTTTGTTATATTATTTCTATTGATATTCTAGCAGCTACTGGTATCTTAAGCAAATATACTTTCTCCGAAATGCACTATATTATCTATTCCATCGCCGGTTCACCCATTCGTTTAGCACTCAATCCACATCTAAAGCAAAAAGCCCTCTGACACGCGAACCCATCTTTTCCGCATTTTCTCAGCGTTCCTCCGGGCGTTTTCACCATTCCTGGACTATGTGATGAATCTCTCAATCCCCTCTTTCCCATAAGATCTCTTCGGGTAGGTGTGGTATAGTCAAGAAGAGGCGTTCTTGACTTCCTTGATTCACTGCGAGTGGGTGTGATGATACCCCCTCTCCTCTTGTGTGGTGATACAGTAGGCGTTCTGTTACCATTGATCATATTCTGGAGAGCTAAATCTTCAGAGTCGGATGTAGGTGTCTCAATACCTTGGTTAATATGATGCGATGGAGTGAGAGGCGCATTTTCTTTCTCATCCAGGTCAACAAATTTTCGTTTGGGGCGAGGTGTAGGAGAGGACCGAGTAGGCGACGAAGTACGCGGTACAGGGCCGTTATCAATCGAATTTCTCCTATGTTGCATTCTCGACTGTATCCTTTCATCCACTGCAACAGTAGGTGACGACTCAACTTGCGAAGTTGATGGAATAACAGCACCACTGCTGAATTTTCTGTTCGTTCTATGTTTCCTCCGCGAGTCCAGAGCACTTCTTGGAGACGTTTCCGGAAGTTGATCGATATCAAATATATCAATGCCAGTCTCGTTTACTTTATTTGATAAAGCAACTGCGACATTAATATCAACAATATCAGGCTCAGTTTTTATATCGAGTGTAGATTTTTCGGGAGAAGCGACAGGTAGAGACTGTGGCCATTCGGCGCTGAGCTCGTCAAACTCATCAAGATCTTCGAGGACACTCAACCCTTCCTTCGGCGGTACAAAGGCGACAGCATTTAATTTTGAGACTGCTACTTGTTTTCCATCCCGTTTCATAGTATTTCGAGGCCCCTTTTGTTTGTGCGTTCCCGGCAATGAGCAAAGAAACAAAACATCATCTCCCTCAAGGCCAAGGCTCAGCTCATCAACTTCTTCTGACACAAACTTCGTTGTGCTTTTCCTGTGAGAAGATTCTGATTTCTTACTAGTTTTATCTTTCAGCTTGCTACTGCTCGATTTTCTTGCTCCTTTCTTGAGCTTGGTTGTTGAACTTTTTGAATGTCGCGTCGCCTCAAGATTAGACCCGGTTTCGTCATCTGAGAATTCGTAGGCGGGGTTGACAGTGACTGGCGAAATCCTCTGAACTCTAGGGCCTATATGTGTAGGAAGTTCCGGCTGATCATCACTTTCTTCCGAAGATTCCAAATCAGAGCTCCTTAGGTTCAAGGCCTCTTCATCTACATCCACCGGTCTGACATCGGTCAAGTCAAATAGACTGGCGTCTCGAGCCAAGTCCTTGTGTAATCTACGGTCCAAAGATTTAATTGTGGCGACAGCATCTGACCAACTAACTAAAGTCGATGCCTGCTGTGCAGGTTTTCGAGTTCTGGAAGATCGTTGGAAAGAAGATATCGGATGCGAACTACGTGATGCAGATCTGATGATCGATTCTGGTTCCTGATCTTTCGCATTGTATGACCCACGAGAACCTGGTCTAGTTGAGCATTCCTTAGACCACAAATGGAGATATTTTTTGCGGTACCTCTGTTTCCAAGAAACCCTCGAGTGCCGACTATTTAGAATTTCTAATCCTTCCCATATAGATTCCCTTGCAAACGGCAGACCCTGATCGCGTGCTTCAGCCACCTTTGCGATGAGCATCTTGTCCTCTTCTTCCGTGAATAAATTGTGTCCTCGTGGTGAGCCAGCGTGACTTGAAGTGCCCAATCCGTCCGAAAGTAATGTTGGTTTATGTGTAGCTCTTGGAGTTCCCTTTCCGCCTCGTCCTCTTGGTAAAGCCCATATCGACTCAGAAATACCGGGAGATGGACTACGCTCAGTTTCTGGCTCTGGAATAAAAGCTCTCATTGCTGACTGCTTTCTCGATCCTAGCGAAGGCAGTTCAGGTACTCTCCAGGCTGGCTCGATAATGGTGTCATCGTGACTTTGCTTTTGTGAAATGAGGCTCACAATTTGAGGGGCAACTTCAGGTCCAAATGAACGTAAAATTTCATTATATGAAGGGAAAGAAATGCCGTGTCCTTCAGATTGTACATTCTGACGCTGTTGTAAATCGTTTTTAGGAGTGCTATTTTGAATATATTCTGTCTCTGTCGTAGTAACCATGTCAAGAAAAGGCTCCTGATTCGATTCATCATAGCCACGTAAAATAATGTCGTCCTCCTCCACATCCTCATCACTCATCTCGGCCGCGTCGTCTTTATCAACTGTTTTGTCGCGTACGTTATCTTCCTCTCCCCTATCATCTCCTTCTTCCACATTGCTATATTCGTCGCCCGATGTCTCTGTGACACTCTCTGGTTCGACGGTCAAGGCTCTTAACAGATTACCTCCCACCTTTTTGACGCCAGCATCTCGCTCATCTTGCATCTCTTTCAAATGTCCATTATCAACCAATATTTCCCCAGTAAGCAAGTCGATTTCATCTCCAACGCCATCGAAGTCTTTCCCATATTTTTCGAAGATTGATTCGAATGTTGATTTTAACTTGTAGTCGAGGCGAGCTCTCTTTTGTTGAAGTTCTTGATCGGGATCATATCCGGGCTCGTAAATTATATCGTCGTTCTCGTCATCGACAATAAAATCATCTTCCTCAGTGTCGCTGTAATCATCAGAGTACTCGTCGTTAACTTCGAGGTCGACAAGATTGGAATCAGCAGGCATCTTCTGCCTTTCTGTTGGAGATTCCATATTGACAATTCGCAATCATGTCCGAAATTTGAGAATGCTGTGGGAATCAGAGAGTGCGTAGTTGTACATCACTATTTCAGTAAATGAAGTTTAGAAGTTGATCATAGTCGCGAGCCGTAATTCATAAAGTCTCGGGAGTACGCGTTGGGTTCGTGTAAATTGAATAGTACTAGGAAGGTAAGTCTTACATGCATAAGCTTAAAAGTAGATTGGCGGGGTTGCACAGGTAACTGAGCTAAGATTATGTAAGCATGCATTTAGCTTTACCGTACGAAATACGTCAAGGTATCAATCATGTCAGTCGTATCAATACAACTAACTCTGAATGAGTGAATCTACAAGCCATTTTATTCTAGAATTCTCTTAGACTTTGAGGGACCAAAATGCCAGAGATTCATTGTTCGATACTTTTTTGATGATTCTCCATAATTTAACTTGATTGAACAGTTATCAGCGGTCAAACATCACAACATGTATTGTCAAAAGTGTCGGACGTCATTGAAACTCGATAGCTCTTTGGAGGATTTGAACCCCGCGGCATTTGATTTGTTAGTTGGTTCGTAATTATTCTCTAGATTCTCCACATAACGTCTCGAGAGGGATCAGAGTATTAACATTGATTTCTAGGTGCAGCCTCACAAAACCAAGCCAAAAACATTCCCCCTTCGCGACCAGCATACCCTCAAGACCGAAAGCAACTATATGATCGTGTCTCGAAGCATGCCGGTCCACCAACTTTCAAGCGGACAATCTCCGCTCCTCGTCGACATGAATCTAATCTATCAGATACGTTGAGAAGTGGCACGAACAATCCAGCCATGTCTTTTGTCATGCTGACGGAGTCGCAAGTCGTACCGCCATCAGTTGCCAAATCACCAGACGCTACAAGCCCGAATAAATTAAATAAAGATGACTTGACTGGTAGTGATGCAGCAGGTGATGGGGGTAAAGCAATGTCGCAAGAAATGGAACGGGTATCAAGACTCTTCGAGATTCTTACAGCGAAATCCGATATTGATCATCCTATTTGTGTTGAATGTACAGAGATGCTTGTTGATGGATTGCAAAAGCGATTAGAAGCTGCGACCCGAGAAAGGGATGCGTATGTTGGGTTTTTGAAGCAAGTCAACGCCGAAGTACCAACAGAGGAGGAGGTGAAGGAAGCCAATGACCTCCTTGCAAAGGTACAAGCAGAGGAGGCCGCGGCGATAGAGGAACTAAAGAAGATTGAAGCGGAAACTGCTGCGGTAAACCAAGAAAACGCACAGCTGGAAGAAGAGGCCAGAGCTCTTGATATTGAGGAAGAAAAATTCTGGAGTGATCGAAATGAGTTTGCAATGAAGCTCTCGGAGTTTCAAAACATACGGGATAGTATCAACCTTCAATACGATCATGATTCACAGCTACTGGATAAACTACAAAGAACGAATGTCTATAACGATACATTTTGTATAAGCCACGACGGAAAGTTTGGTACAATAAATGGCCTACGACTTGGACGTCTCTCAAGTGTGCCGGTTGACTGGCCGGAAATTAACGCAGCATGGGGGCACGCATTGCTCCTCCTAGCTACTGTTGCTGGTCGTCTCAACTTCAAATTCGATGGCTATGAGCTGCAGCCTATGGGTTCTACTTCTCGAATAATACGTTTTGATTATCCCTCGCCGTCTGCAAGTCGTTCTAGCTCACAACGCGTTAATATACCTAAACCACCCAAGAAATCGATTCTTGAACTTCATTCATCTGGTGATATGCCCCTTGGCCTTACATTCATGCATCGCAAATTTGATATAGCTATGGAGGCATTCCTTGAATGTATGCGTCAATTAGGTGCTTTTGTTGAGCAGGAATCTGCCAAGAACTCTGAAACTGGAAGGGGTCTTAAATTACCATATAAAATTGAAGGGGAGAAGATTGGTGAAATTAGTATAAAACTAGGGATAGCACAAGATGATGCGTGGAGTAAAGCGTGCAAGTACACTCTCACATGCTGCAAATTCCTGTTAGCTCACGCTAGTAATGTTAATACAACGAGGAGGAGTATATAATTTATGATTTTGGGTGCACAGGGGACTTACGGCGCATTGGGTCAAAGAATGGAAACGTGGAAAAGGCGTTTCTGGCACTTGGACTGGACTTACGGCGTTTAATATGATCGCAATGTTCCACTACGCACACTAAGAGACAGTTTTGAGAAATGCAACATTAATTTTTTCATCATTTTATATTTTAAAGCACCTGATTCTTTCTGTTTCAATGTAGATTTTGCGAAACTATACAAATCAAACTCTCTTTGTCAATTTTGTTGAAGCGAAATTGCCAATCTAGGCCACTTTTTTTGTGCGTTTCCTTCTTTTATTGAGTTTTTTTGGTTGGCAAGGTTGCCTTTTCGAAGTCTTTTCAAATCACCTTATCGTACACGCGTCGTCTCCAAGTGGCTACTACATGCTAAGGTCAGACAATGTTTCTGCGGGCACATTGTCTTCCCTCTCGGCTTTTCTCTGCTGGGTCTTGTCACGATCGTTAGCTCTACCTGCATCTCTACCTCGCTCTATGTACTCCTGCGCCAAAGAAGGGAGTTGTTTGGCATATCTCTTCTTGGCGTTGTGAAGCTTTCTGCTGCGTTCGCTCCGATGTTTGATGGTTGCTTCAGGGGCAAGCTCGGGTTTCGAGCTCTTGGGTTGCGTGGTTGGTGACATGGTGATGTGACGCGGGCAGCAGTTGGTAAATTCTGGATAATGTGTAAGTGCTTGGATTTCAGTGTTAAAATTTCAATGTTAGCGATTGGTTAATACAATGAATGAAGATTTTGGTGATGGATAGTGGTGTTGTGAGATGATTGTATTAGATGAAGATGAATGAAGAAGAGGATGGATTTTAACTCTCAATCTGAGGAAATAACAGTATTTATATACCCAATTTCGTAGCATTGTTCAGCGATTATTCGATATCTCTTGTCCATTCTGAACAAGGCAGTTCATGTGTTCATGAATAACGGTCTGAATCAAAAAAAAAATGACACTGTTCTCCTTTCCATGAGCTTCGACGCCCATGTTTCACAAAACGCTTTATCGAGAGATAAACCTCCTTATCCCCAAGTCAACGAGTATACATCTCAAAAAGGAGGTCTTGAGAACTTGGGTGGATTCCTGAATTAAGAGAATCAGTAAATGATTGTAGAGGAGAGAACATTACATGATTAGAAGATCCGTGGCGGTGATTGTGAAAAATCAAAACGGGACGCAACAATTCATTTAATTTCGAAATTGTACACATCCTTTGTCACTACGGACAATCTTGATATCCCAATCAAGACACAAATCATACATATATTTCCATTTCTCCATATAATATGTATTCTATTCTATTATTTGATATCTGTTCAACATACATTGCAAACTACCTCCTTTTTCATTCACCCCCTATCGTTGTGATGATGTAGAGCCCAGACTCCGTAAGCGAAATATGCTGAGCCCCCTTCGAAGCGGCCAGTTTTTGTAACTGGTCTATGTAACTTTTTTCTGAAGACCTTTCGTGTTATGTGTGGTGTGATTCGTGATAGAATTCAAGTTCGGCGTGCGAATAAGTCCTTCATGTACAGATCTCGAGAATTTCACTCTCACCACGCATTGTTCACCCACTAAATGCTATCTTCCAACTCCCTCACCCTCGCTCACTCTCCCCCATCCAACCTCTTACAACCACCTGATTTCATGCCATCCCTCTCCATATCTACAAAAAGCTCCTCTTAACCAACCTCAAAATCTCTACCAAAATTCCTTTTCCCTTCATCGGGTTTTCCCACAAACTCGATATCCAGAACTGAGATCGAAATATCTACACATACATACACATACTGCGAGAAAATTCAAATCACAGTGTGGTGAGCATGGGCGTGAGAGAAGGAATTGTAAACAGGCAGAGGAAGAGACAGGAAGGCAGGAAGGAGAAAAAGATCAGAAAGAAAGAAGCCGAGAAGGAGGAAAGGAGGAAGACAGAAAGAAAGAAAGGAGAAGAGAAGAGAGTAGTAATATTCTCAGCTAACTAAGCCGAGATCTTGAAATGGTGATTGAAATTGAACCTTGAATATGAGTATGAATATAAATACCAATACCAATACCAATACCCATACCACACCTAAATCTCACTTCCCCTATGAGTGATGAGCTTGCGCGACAATTATCATCATCACTATCGTCATCATCATCAATGATACATAGTTTTCAAGATTCTCTCAATGTGTCTCACTTCCTTTCCTCCTGCCTTTAATCCTCCTTCTCTCCTCGTTTTTCTCTCATCCCCCCTCCCGTTCTTTCATAACCGGAGAAAAGCAAAACAGAGGACAACGGGATCTTTGGGGAATTAGGAATTAGGAACCCAAAGAATAGCAATACGGAAAAATAGAAAAATAGAAAAATAGAAAACCTGTGAAATATTTCAGTATCACTGGAACGAATACGGGTATTTTCCTCGAGTCAAGATAACTGTCATCATCTGTTTCAGACACTAGATACATCAAGAATAACCTCGTGTACTAGAAGAAATATTGTACAGTAGGTAGGTATATATGATCTCATCTCTCATTATCATTAAAAGTAGGTATCTATACCTCAGCCTAGCTGCCTAGCTAAGCTAACATTCATTTACAACAAGCAAGCTATGTAAAAAGCTCACTACTAGGTATATCTTCAAAACTCCTAAATCATCATCCCGCCCATATAACTACAGATCTCTCATTCTCGCCATCTTCTCACAGATATCAAGCTCGAATCCCAATTCTCCCTCTACCGCTCACAAATGCAATCAATTCCCCTCCATGACCTGCGCAATAGGAATCTTTTCAATCTTACTATTTTGTTCCTGATCCCTACTGACTTGATAGAAATCATCACAGAAATCAGAACACTGCATAACCTTCAAGAATTCTTCGTCGTGAGTAATAATGATGAGTTGGAAATTGGCTTGCTGTTGACGGGATTTAATGATGTCATGTAGAGATTGTGCAAGTGCTTTGATGTTGTCTTGGTCTAGATTAGTGGTAGGCTCATCGAGTGCAATGAGCTGTAAATAACGTTAGAATGATAACAATCAAGATAAAAGAAGGGAATAAGAAAAGATGCAAACTTACACCACAATTAATACCGAAACATTCGGCTAGCGCTAAACGAATGATGATACATGCCAAAACTTTTTGACCAGCACTACAACGACCACGCATATCCATCTCGACATCTTGCTTAACCATCACAACTCGATATTTATAATTTGTCTTCTTGTTACCAGCTGCGGTTTCGCCCTCATCTTTCTCAGAACGAATCATGATCGTATCGACATCCGTACCCTGGTAAGTAGTCTGCCATAATTCCCCAGCAATTCGATTGATTTCCTCCATCTTGACACTATGAAATTTTACAATTGCTTTGTCCATAGCTGTAATCATCTTGCCTAGATCATCAATAGCAGCTTTGGTGGTCTTGACTTTGATCATAGCTGTACGATACTCTGATCGAGCATTTTTGTAATTCAGATCCCAGTCCTGTAAATATTGTGCCAAGTTCTGGTCCTTTTCCGAGAGAACGGCCGTTTTCTGTTGGTAGAGGCGACGATGGTCGTAGAACGTTGCTTGTATTCTCTCAGCCTCTTTTGTTAAAGTTTGAAAATTTCCTTCCACATTTTGAGATTCCAAGTCAATAGTTTGTTTCTTGTAAACCTCCAATTTAGCCAATTCCTGACGGTATAGGATATTGTCGCTGATATTTGTCTTTAGTCGATCGGAATCACTCTTTTTGGCTCGGAGTGCATTCAACTCGGTAGTAATACCATTCATCTCTTCGCTGATACGCTTCTGATCCTGCTGAATGGATTTGATTGCTCGCTCACAAGCAGCAAGATTTTCAGGGCCACTGTTGTCAATATATCCATTGATATTTTTCTCATGTTGCAGGAATTGGCGGACAGTATCTGCCAACTTCTCCTTTTGAGATCGGACTTCTCTTTCTTTTGCATGACCTTGCTGTTGAATGTCTTCGTATTTAGCCTTTGCAGTATCAATTTTGGGTTTCAAACTTTCCAGCTCAGCATCAGCACGATTCATGGTTTCACGTTGCTGTGTGCTGCTCTCGAGAAGCTCATTAATCTCTTTACGCAAAGCTTGTTTCTTTGCCAGTCCGTGAATGACATCCCGGAGCCTTTGCGATTTGCGAGATAGGTCACGCTCCACGTCATTTATCTTGTCCTTAGCTGCATCTTTCTCGGAAGAAATTTTCGATAATTGTTCTCTGACCTCGCGCATACTTTCGCTACAAGCTGTCTGTCGTTCTTGGATATCGTCAGCAGTCATAATACTTCCAGTAATGCTTTGCTGCGAGGCTAAGCTATCAATCTTTGCCTCGTGATCCGTAATATCACTATGGTACCTAATGATGGAGGAGATGATATGTGTCAAAGATTCAACATCTCTCTGTCTAGCGTTCTTGCGTTCAACAATATTGTCGTGATGCTCGACTTCTTCAAGCAATCTTTGCTTCTCATCTTCCGCCTTCTTCATATCTTGCTCAATATTTGGGATTTGGTCCTTGAGGGATTGATAAATGTCATACTGCGATTGAGCAGCTTTCGCAGTCTTCAATTGTTCATTGTACATCTCCAGCTCTCCCTGCAATCTTTCTCGGGCATCTTTGTTGAGAAGTTTTTGAATCTTCTTCATGGCGGCTGAACGATGTGATTCTTCTGCAAAACCTCTCTCACAGAGTTTGCACATGTCCTTAGTTTGAACGGTGGTTAAGCATTGGGTGAAATATTCGATCTTGTGTTTAAAGCCATCGATATTATCTCGGATCTCATCACGCTCCTCCTCCAGTTGATTCAGCTCCCTAGGATATTCTTCAACACTTACTAATGGCTTCAAGTCTTCATCCTTTATAGAGTTGAGTACAGCATTCTCACAAGCCTTCAATTGCTCCTTCTTAGCTTTGAGGTCTTCACGAAGTGCATTGAAACGAAAACCTGCTTCAGAATGAGATTTCTTCGCGGCTTCTTGTTCATCTGTTGCGTCTGAAACTTCATCTTTCTCTCTATCCAATGCACTTTGGAAATCCTTTGCGAGAGTGTCAACTTGCCAGTCGGAGCCGAGAATTGAATCGAGCTTTGCACCGTGGGTCGCTTTCATGGTGTCTAGTTTTCCCTTGGTTTTTTTCAACTCCCCCATAACATAGTCAAGTTGCGCGCGGTCATTCGAACGTTTGTTGATCTCGAAAGCCTCTTTCCTCAAAGACTTCTCCTCGTCTTCGAGTTCACGCAAGCGTCCATTGCTAGCACTGATGCGGTTGTCCCAGCCTGCACCATCAAATTGAGTCCTAAGTTTCTCCAAAAGTTCCTTAGTCTCATTATGGGAGGCCTCAAGACCGGTTTTATCACCTTCGTCGAATTGGATAAAGCCCAGTTCTGTTTGTTTAGGGCCTACTTTCCTTTCGTTGTTGGAGATTGTTTGCTTGGCTGTGACCTTTTCTTGAACGCGTATTGCGTGTTGGTTCTGAAGTTCCGTCAACGTGGTCTGGACATTCTTCAACTCATCATTAGTGGCGGTCTTGGCCCGCTCCAACTCACGTTCCTTGTCGCGAGATAGCTTTTTGATTCTCTCTATAAATTCATTCACCCGAGACTCGTTGATGTCGTCATTGTAGCCCCGAATGGAATGCTT